TCAACCACCTCTTTACTTCCCACCGCCCATCCGGCAGCCAACTTCCCCTTCCATCCAAATCCCCCAATCTTCCGCAACTCCATAATATCAGCTACGGGCATACTGAAAGATACGGTTCCCTTTTCCCTACTCTCAAGCCTCTGATCACCTAACAGGGCATCCGGATCCGTCGTGAAATACAACACCGGTGGATCAACCGTCGAGTCAATCACCACAGCTCCTCGGCTGCCTTTGTAGCGAGCGTCAAACTGGACCGGTCCCGAAGGCAACGCCCCTTTTCCTTTCCTGCTGAGAATTCCAAGTCGGGATTTAGCGTGCTCGGATCCTGCAGCTGCCCGGACCCGGTCAACTGCAAGTTTGCTTTCGATGCCCGTTGCAGTTGTTCCTCGGAAGAAGCCGACAATGCGGGAACCTATTGTTTTCTTCCGCTTGTTTGCTTGGGATTTTTCATCTTCCTCTTGTGCTTGGGCTCTGGGGTCTGGTGCGGCTGCTTGGGTTATTTCTTCTTCTGACGCATCCAAGTTGACTTGGCTGGGGTTGAGTGATGCAGGGTCAGAAGGCGCCTTATGTAGTGCGTTGGAAGGTGGTGGTGGTAAGGGGGCAGCATTTGTCTCGCCGATACGGAGGAGGGTTAAAGTTAGCTGGGCATTTGTAGGAATTCCTTTTAGGAGGGAGCTAGTGAAATGATTAGCAAAAGTGATGATCAATTCAGCACCTTGAGGAACTTACTTTTGCAATTCAAGAAGCTTGATCCAACCTGGGTATCTGCGATTCAAGTACGCAGTAATACGGGCAAAAACGGGGTCTCCGAAGAAACCAAACCCTACCACGAAAGTACCCATTTTGACGAACACGTAGCTTGAGGTAACAAATGACCCGAGTAACCCGAGAGATAGAATGCTCGCCAACCGGATATATGGGGTTGTAGATGAAAATGGTGGGGTTGGTGTCAGGGCACTATTAGTCCCAAGTTAGAGATACACTCCGCTTAGCTTTGTAGCGGCTTTGACTTACTTCCCAAGCTTCTCGTAAATATCAGTGATATCACTCAGTATACGCATGCCTAGATTTGCGCCGTTGAGTACTGTCTCCTTCATGGGCTCCCTTGTCTTATCGTGGGTACTATCTGGTACTCCCCCGTGGGCTGCTGTTTGCGCATCTGCTGCTTCCGAGACAGTATGCATGACATCTGGAACTGAATCCTCCATGGGAGCACCTTCAGGTGTCCCCTGGTCATGTTTACCAGCAACACTTCCAACCGCCACAGTGGCTGCGCTTGTGATTAAGTTACTGGCCTCTTGTTCAGCAGCCTCGCCCTTCATTTTCTCCGGTGCACCGGTGACGCTATCATGAGAGCCTAGCACACCAGCTTTGGGCTTCTGTACACCTCCGGTATTGCTATCAACGAGAGCAATAGGAGCAGGTGGGAACAGCCATGATCTGCATGGAGGGTAAACGACCAATGCAATCAGAAAGCAAAAGATTGTAGGCACTAGGAAATCCAGGAGCCATGAAAGAAAATATACCTGAAGTCCACACCGTCAGTCTTGAGGAAGTAATCACGTAAAGTTTAGAGAAAAACATACTCCGCAAAATATTCCTGTTCGCCGAGACTCCCTCCACGAGCGTAATCTGACAATGTGCTTGTAAAATGCAGTCAATGACACAACAATCGTCGTATAGAAACGCTCAAGGGTCGCCCGCAATTTATCTGGGGAGAAATGCTCGTCTTCGGCGCGATTGAGATCCAACCTTTGTAACGGGGCATCCGGCACGGCTTTCACATAATATATTTGCTGGTCTATGTCAGTACTGGAAATCTATTAGCACTAAATGGCATACCTTGTTGAACCGTCTGACGAGCATCCAAAGGTCCTCATTCGATAGGCCTGCCACGATTCGGCCTTGAGGGGAGTGTTGCCATCCCAAATCTGTCACCTCGTCGGTATCACCGGCCTTCTGAGCCATGCCCTTTTCATTGTGATTGATCTGGGAAAGGGCATGACTATCTGTAGGCCCAAATGCTTCAAGCTGGCCTTGATTTTCTCTCTCTTTCAATTCAAGTTTTGACGGGCCATTGTCCCAGCCGGCTGTAGGGGCTGGCAGGGGGTCGGTGAAACCTTGTCCTGACATATTGTATGGTGCTAGCCACCGATGCCATGGGAGGTCAATGCTAAAAAAGAGAAGGCAACATGGATCCTAGGGTCATGATCTATAGATCCGATGCCGTACGAATGACGTCATCCTTTCTTCCAGCGCCCTTACAGTCTACAAGACTTTAGCAGACTGGGTCCTGTTGCATGGCACGGGGTAACTACGTAGTGTCACTCTTCATGGAGCAGTTTCTCCATAAGTGGAGTCTAATGCATGGTTAATCTATTACTGATGTCATTTAGTGCCATATATATCAGGCACAGTAATGTAGGACGAGGGGTATTGCACCGCCACATACAGCCGCTGTCAAGCCACACTTAAATCCCAAAATGGAAGTACGCGTGAAATCGAAGCGCGTTGTTCTCATCTTTCCCCCAACGGACTACTGCTTCCATTTTGGAGGGCAAAAAATGACAGTGTGATAGCTTCTCAATGCAAGAGATGCATGCATTGATATCCTTTTCCTAGCTGCTATTTCAGGTACCACTTTAGCGTAGAAAGTACCGAATCACATCTGCGTCGCTTAGCGTCCAGCCAGTCCAGGAACTATGAGCGAAACGTGTGCAAACCCCCTTTTCTTGGGGTGGATTAAAGAATGGCTGGACCAAGCAAAGGAGCGTAACAGTAAAGGAAAAACTGTGTCGGTATAGCCATGTTTTGCTTGATAAGTCCGCTGCTGATACGCTCTGCTCAGATACAAAAAGGCCTACGAGTCGATGAAAGCATGCCCCTTAGTCTTTCAACATCCGTCCGAGGCCTTGCAGCTCAATGGCCTTGGCCCTAAATTATGTGACCGATTAACTGAGAAGCTAACGGCTCACTGTGCGGAGAATGGCCTTCCAATGCCTGAGCTTCCCAACAACTGTGAGTTTCCTATCTCTAATATGCACCCCACGGGTTTCTTTTAACAGCAACTGCAGCAAACGGTAAGAGACAGTCAGACGAAGGTGCATCAGAAAGTCAACCGGCGAAGAAGCCCCGGAAAGCAAGGCCTTATGTGCCAGCGTTACGGTCCGGACCTTATGCACTCCTGCTGGGTCTGGCCACTCTCGATGAAAATTCATCTCAGGGCTTGACAAAGCCACAGTTGATTGACAGGGCAGAGCCATATTGTGACAGCTCTTTCACGGCGCCGAGCGACCCAGGCAAGTTCTTTACCGCGTGGAGCTCGATGAAAACACTCCTCCAGAAAGACCTAGTTTATGGCCACGGCCATCCCTTGAAAAAGTACGCTCTTACAGAAGAAGGATGGGAGGTTGCAAAGCGGATCAGAAAAACCCTTCCCGAAAACCAAAACACCCTATCCTGGGCAAATCAACTGGTAAGGGGCAATACAATAACCATGTATACCAAGAGTCTGACATACCCAGAACACATCCGGTGCCCAAGACTCCAGTAAAAGTGGCCCCGGGTCTCACCATCAAGAAAGCAATGAAGACCTCGAAGCACTCCTCAACCCTCCAATAAACCAAGTAAACGACACCGAAGACACCACAGTAACACCCATCACCCTACCCCCCAACAGCTTCACTGTCCAGCTGGTCCTGGACAACCGAGAAGTCCGAACCCAGAGGGATAGAGACTACATCTCCAACGAGCTCAGCAAAAAGGGCATCAGCACACAAGTGCGCGCACTAGAGCTCGGCGACGCAATGTGGGTAGCCAAATTCCACGACCCGAAATTCCTCTCGCAGTACGGCGAAGAGGGCGACGAAGTCATGCTCGACTACATCGTCGAGCGAAAACGAATCGATGATCTCCTCAGCTCCATCAAAGACGGCCGATTTCACGAACAAAAGTTCCGCCTCCGTCGGTCGGGGATGAAAAACGTCATCTATCTCATCGAAGAGTCCGCCATCACTTACGATTTTAATTGCGCCATCGCAACGAAATACCAGGAAATGGTCGCTTCCGCTATCGCCTCGACACAGGTTGTGAACGGCTACTTCGTCAAGAAAACCAAGAATCTGGACGATACAATTCGCTATCTGGCCCGTATGACCTTTCTTCTCCGGAAAATTTATACCCAGGACGCTACCCCTGATTCACAAGATGGACCTCCGTCTCATACCCTCAGTTTAATACCTAGTCGCCAATTGTCTTCCTCGCAATCATATCTCAATGCTCTTACGCAACTTAGAGCGGAGACCCCCTCTGTTACATACGCTGTAACCTTCCCCACATTTGCCGCCTTGGCTTCGAAGTCAGAATCTCTCTCCCTCCGCGATGTATTCCTGAAGATGCTCATGTGCACACGTGGGGTGACGGGCGATAAGGCCCTTGAGATCCAACGCCGGTGGCCCACTCCCCAAGCCTTTATACAGGCATTTGAGGCGTTAGATCAGAAGGGCAGGGAGACTATGGTATCTGATAGGCTATCTTCAGCAGTGGGGAGGAAGAAGGTGGCCAAGGTGCTTAGTAAAAAGATTGCTGAGGTGTGGGGAGAGGATGGTTGATGCTTTAGATTGCTCTCCCGGTCAGGGGGTGTGGATAGTTTCAAAGATATTTTTGATTTGATGTATGGTATCAGCTTGATACTTGACCTTTGTAACTATCAAACTTCTACTAAGTTGCACTCAGGTCGCCTACGAGTATCCTCATACTAGTTTGGTGCTGATATTATGAGCTATACTGAAAACAAAGTCAGAGTGGATCCATGAGAGCAATAACATTAAGAAATATGCCTATCAAAGACCTATGGGCCACAATTGATATGAAATCATACAACGTAGTCGTTCATAAACGAACCCTGCATCATATAGACCAACATATATCATAAAACCCGCAACGCCACAAAAACCACCCATAGAATGCGGTAGATACATTATACCCGTATAAACAATTGTTCATTTATCCATACCAACAAGTCTCTGGATAGTTCTCTTTTCAATCCCCAAAGCAAGGCTGCTGCAGACCACAGAGATACTACTTAAAGCCATCGCTAACGCAGCCCAGACGGGGCTCAGCCTCCAGTGTTTATCAACCATAACGGTCTCGCCCCCGATCATTTTCATCTCATAGCCATTGACAATAGGGTAAAACACCCCGGCGGCAACCGGTACAAGACAGAGGTTATAAACAACGGCCCAGCCGAAGTTCATCTTGACGCGGTTGAACACCCGCCGACTAAGCACAACTAATTGGAGGATAGTGTCGAGTTCAGAATTCAAGAGGATAAAGCTTGCAGAGTTCATGGCGACGTCCGACCCGGATGCCATGGCGATACTGACATCTGCGGCCGCGAGAGCAGGCGAGTCATTCACACCGTCGCCGACGAAGGCTACGATGGACCGTGTGCCTTGCTCGTTTTTCTGGCTCTCAGCTTCGGAGTCGGATCTTGGGGGATATATGCCGTCTTGGACTTGACGGACGAAGTCCGCTTTCCCGGCGGGCATGATATTGGCCATGACGTTGGATCGGGAGATGCCTACCATGTCAGCGACGGCGTGCGCGGTGGTCTGGTTATCCCCGGTGCACATGTATACGTCGACTTTGCGCTTTTGGAGTTGTGAGATCACCTGAGCAGCATCCGGTCGGATTGAATCCGAAATTGCGAAGATGATTGCTGGGGTGAAGTAGGAGTCATTTGAAGACCCTAGGCCGACCTTACGCAATGACAATATCGCAGTGGATTTGCCTGATGCTTGGTAGGTTGAGAGAAATTCAGAAAGTTCCGAGTCATCGAAATCAGGTGAAGTCAAGTTTTGGAGGAGACGTTGATTGCCGATGGCTGCTTCGTACTGGGCTGTCCGTTTCGATTGGTCGGTCTTGTCCTCCAGAGACACGGTGAACCTGCCCTTCATTCCCTGTCCGGGCCGCTCTTCGACATCAGAGCTAAGTATGCTAGCTGACTCCTTGCCGCTGCAGAAGTCTGAAACCGCATGAGCAATCGGGTGATTGCTACTCTCCTCCAATTTTCGGGCAAGTGACCATGCTACTTGCAATTCCTCGGGGCCGGTAATGAGCGGCTTATGGTCAGAAACGGTCAAACCTCCTCCTTCTGTTAGGGTACCGGTTTTATCGAATACAATGGCGTCAAGGCGACTCGCTTCCTGGAAAGCTTCGCCTCCACCTTTGACCAGTATGCCGTGTCGGGCAGCAAGTCCTCCACCAACAAAGAGCGCCGTAGGAGCAGCAAGCGCCAGGCCGCAGGGGCAAGCAACCACGAACACTGCGATTGCAAACTCCAAGCTCCAAAAGGCCCAGCCGCCATGCACAACATCAAGGTAGTCATCTGGCAAGGCACCAGAAACACCCAGCACAAGCCAGATGATGAATGTCAATACGGCTATAAGCGTTATAATGGGAACAAAGTGGGATGTGAGTAAGTCCGCAACCCTTTCCATAGGAGCACGTCTGCTCTGGCCCTCACGCACCACGGCGATGATTTGGTCCAGCATCGATGCCCCTCCAACAGCGGATACCTTAATCTTCACGGGTTGGCCGACATTCACAGATCCTGTGTAAACAGGATCGCCGGCAGACTTCTTCACAGGGCGCGACTCTCCTGTCAATGAGCTTTCGTCAAACTGATAAGTGTTGGGGTCGACAACTACACCATCAGCAGGAGGTGAAGCTCCATGGGGTATGCTAACAATATCACCAATGTCCAGCAGCTCGATATTGATCCTCTGAATCTCATCTTCGCCAGAGACAGCTCCAAAATCATTTTGTTCGGTAGCACGGTTATGGACAATCAGCAATGCCTCGGAAGGCTTCAACTTGCCAAGCGATGCAACTGCATCTCCAGTTTTCGCTTTGCTGTATGCTTCGATAAATCGACCCGCCAAGATGAACAACGTAAGGAATACCACAGAGTCGAAGTATGTTGTGCTATTGCTCATTGATGAGGTTCCAATGACAGCATCAATTATGAGAACAGCCAATGAAGAGATGTAGGCCACAGTAGTTCCAGCGGAAATCAAGAGATTCATGCTACCAAAACGGTAGAACCTCCGTAGAATAGGTACACGGCTTCCAGGACGCCAAAGGGAGTATATCTCCTTTGCAGCTCGCACGTGGAACAAGTCAGTGCCGTAGAACATGACCGGAGTTGTCATGATGAAAAGAGACCATTCCATCCGAGAAACACTCCCAGCCCACATTGGCTGCTCTAAATACTTTCGAGTCCGGTTGTCCGGCGACACGAGGCTCATGAACACAATACCGATTAGGAAGGTTGGAATTGCCACTATCAAAACGAAGAGGAAACGAGACAGTAGCCTACGCCTCTCGTGCAACTGTATTACCCGTGATCGGTCTTCTATGCTCGGAGGGTGGTAGACAGTGGCATTGAAAGCATCATGGTCTCCGTTGATGCGCCGAAGTATGGTTCTGATGGTAAGAGAAGGAGGGCGTGGAGTATAGGTAACTTTAACAATGGGGTTCTTGATGGATAGTGTGCCGTCAATTTCAACACCAGGAAGCTCCTTCAAAGAGTTAAGGACCTTGTCCGGGCAATGGTGACAGAACATCCCCTCCACTCGAATTGGCACAGTTCTTCTTTCGATCTCACCGTCATCTTGGCCTTTGCCAGCCTGGGGAAGGACACTGGTGACAGAGGCGTCGTATCCTAGATCTTCGATTTTCTCCACAATGGCATCAATATGATCATGTCCGTCAAACTCTACCTTACCGCTATGGGACAAAAGATTAACTGAAACTTTTGTCACAAAGGGGAGTTCTTCGAGTCCTCGCGTGACACTCCCTGCACAGGAACCGCACGTCATGCCACTAATGGCAATTTCGGCGACATACGATGATGGATTCTGGCTGTGTGATGAAGTCACACCAACCTGTTGTACCTCATCGAGAGAGGCCTCAAAACCAATGTCTTCGATATGCTCAATCACCTTTTCTATATTCGACTTGGGACCGTTATAGAGGACTGTTGCACTATTGCTGAGAAGATTGACAGTGATGTCCGCGATGAAATCGAGCTGCTGAACTTCGTTTGTGACTGTATTGACACATGATGCGCAGCTCATGCCCTCGATGCTTATACGGGCATTGAACTTTCCATTATCGTCATGCGGTTGCAGAGGTTGAACACTTTCTGCGGATCTTCGGAGTGCCAGGCTCTCAATGTCTGATACTTCATCACTGACGCCAAATAACTGACTGTCCTTCTCACTTCTTAACCGAGTAGGAGTCGTTACTGACAGGTCTTGCGCCGCGGATATTCCCTGAAACTCTTCTTTCCGACAGGCATCACAGTTCGCAAGGTGTCTATTCTGCGTCGTCGAGCTAGAAAACGAAGCCCGCTGCGTCGCAAAATGCACAGAGTCTTTGGAAAGCCACGAAGTTGTGCTAATGTCAGATACGACCATGCCTTTGTCATCATAAGTCGTTACATGATGGACCTCGAAAGCAGCTTGAATCAAAGCTCTGGCTAAGGTGGAAGGACTGGTCTCTGCCGCATGAGAGACGCGCACCTCGTGAGTAAGAATAGTGACATCGACGCCAAACACGCCAGATAGTTCCGAGAGGACTTCTGTGATATATGCGATGCAGGAAGAACAATGCACGTTACTGACAAAGAAAGTGCTTTTGAGGTGCCTTGAGCCCTGGCTCGCAGGATCTCGAGATGGATGGTGTGAAGTAGGTGACATGATATCTTGTTTGAAAGTATATAGCTGTAGGGCGCTTGATAAGGTCTTAAAAACAGGAACCAGGCGGCATCCCTTGATGAGATAATGGATCGCGAAATAGCTAGCTGGTAGAACTTGATTCACTGGGAAACAGGCGACCGTGGCGAAGCTGAAGAGACTTTGTCGTTTATTGTGAATATCGAGGTAGCTAGTTAATACGTGTTAGAGGACGTCAACTTGGGAGAAAAGGCGTTGGGTCAAATTATAACAAGCGAAGAGTGAAGCAGTATGTTGCTGGAAAAGTCCGAAGGTGACAGCAGAAGCGACGGAGGGTAGTAGATTTTGTTATGTATTATATTAGGATCACTGAAAAGGTTCCAAGTAGGAGATAGAATTAGATATTCATTTTGGGGAGGCATGCTGGCAGTAAAATACTACACGGAAAGAGGCTGCGTCTTTTGTGCGTGAAGCTGTGGAGAGACGCTAAACTACGCAGAAATCACTCATTCCAAAGTATGGAACCGCCACAAGACTGACAAATGTTCATGGATGACACCAGGACGTCTTTCTATCATTAGTCAACTTCAGTCAAGTGACTTCATCGACTAAAACAGAAAATCGTCGGAACAGTTACCAGTATGCCTGTTACATACCGACAGGAGGTGAGCGATTATGGCGTTAAATGTCAAGTGGACAGTGGCATGCCGCGATACATCTTGGCCTCGACCCCAACTGGGAGATAAGATGGAATGAGTCATGAAGACTACGTAGTTAGTTATTCTCTAACTGATTGATAATCATTTTACCTGATCTGTGGGGAAGAGTGACCAGGTGCAGACAAGCACATCTGCAAACGGCCACCTTCATGTGGTATGAGCCTGAGCAGCGTTCAACGAGCTCAACATACAGACGGACGGGTCCTTATGGTATTCGAAAGTCATCCTTCTGGTACAGCAACTAGAGGTGAATGTTATTGCCCTGACAGCCATCTGGTGAAATAAAAGTCCCTGACGGACTCAACGGGAATCGAACGGCGGCTCCTCCTCGAAACACGACGGGAATGCCAGAGTGCAAGGCAACCACGTGACCCTCCCACTGGACCACGAAGACTTTTCCAACGCGTCGTCGCTCGCACTGATCACGTCGCCATCCGATTTTTCACCTCTCCACGTCGCGTGTCAATATATCTATTGAAATGGGATGAATCTCTATCGAGTCTTCCTCGTTTGAAAGATCTTTCTCGTCACCGAGTAAAGCTAGCTTTTTTTTTAAAAAAAAAAAAAAAACTCTTGGACACAAGTCCTTTTACTTTCAAAACACATCTGATACCCACCTTTGGACTTCGGGACCTTGACAACCAATATTTCCTTTCTCTTGTACATCCATTTCATCCATCTCATCTCATCTCCAAGTGCTATCGATCCCGACCCCCCGTTATCAATCACCTCGCACCGCAAATAGAAAGAATGTCTCCTTGACCTCATTCACTCTGATCTTCTCTCCACTCCTGACCTCCTTACTTTATATACTGCTGCGCTTCAGAACCTCTTTGGAATTGGGTTACTGGTGAACATTAACTTACCCTCGAACTCGTTTATCATGTCTACTTCGAGACCGGGAATGCGCCCTCCATTCCCCCCGAAGGCTGGCCCCAGGGCACCGCCAATGGGTCGCCTGGCCAGTCTTAAGTCCCCTAATCCGGCTGCAATAAGACGGCCACAACCCATTGGCCGGCCACAGCCAGCCAAGCCGACGACTCACCCGAAGACTTCTACATGCCCTAACCCTGGCTGTCCCGCACCTCATATTGTCGAGGATGACGGGCAGAAGGTTTGTTCTGGGTGTGGTACGGTCATCAGCGAGGCAAACATTGTCTCCGAAGTGACTTTCGGTGAGACCTCGTCCGGTGCTGCAATTGTGCAAGGTACATTTGTCGGAGAAGATCAGACTCATGTCCGCAGTTATGGCCCCGGCTTTCAACGTGGAGGTGGTGCGGAAAGCCGAGAGATCACTGAGCAAAATGGTAGTCGATATATCAATCAGCTGTCCCGTGCTCTGAACATTCCGGAGAGTGCTTCGAAAGCTGCTGGCCAGGTTTTCAAGCTCGCGGTGGGCTTGAACTTCATTCAAGGTCGCCGAACAAAAACAGTGGCCGCGGTGTGTCTCTATATCGCCTGCCGCCGGCAGGACGGTAACACTGTAATGCTCATTGATTTTGCGGATGTCCTCATGATCAACGTGTTCAAGTTAGGTCGGACGTATAAGGCTTTGCTGGAAGAGCTGCGCTTAGGTGGTAATGTATTTCTGATGAATCCGATCGATCCAGAGAGTTTGATTTATAGGTTCGCCAAACAGCTGGAATTTGGAGCTGCCACAATGCAGGTGGCCAGCGAAGCTGTCCGTATCGTGCAACGAATGAATCGCGACTGGATGACCACTGGTCGACGTCCTGCTGGTATTTGTGGTGCTGCTTTAATTCTTGCGGCACGAATGAACAACTTTCGACGCACGGTCCGCGAGGTTGTATACGTCGTCAAAGTAACTGAAATCACTATCAGTCAACGTCTCAACGAGTTTAGTGCAACGGAAAGTGGAGAGTTGACGGTCGATCAATTCCGCTCTGTGCAGCTAGAGAATGCCCATGATCCGCCCTCTTTCACCAGGGCAAGGGAAGGGAGGAAACCGTCGCGGAGCTTCAAAAGAAGACCCACGGAAACTGCAGCGGATATTGAGGGAGATCTTACTGATGCCGCTACAACGCCTTCGAACATCGCTCCCCAGCAGCAGAAACGCGTTGATGCGGATGGCTTTGCTATCCCTAGCCTTCCTATCGATCCAGCCTTGATAGCAGCGGATGGTGAGAGACGAACGTCGACAACCTCCGTCGAGAGCGAAGTTGCACCAGAAGTTAGCGAACCCCCGGGCAAACCAGCTAGGGGCCGCCCCAAAGGCTCCAAAGCACGACCTCTACCAACTCCTACCCCCGATCAGATCGCCTCTGAGGAAGCCCTCGAAAATGAGATGACAGCCTATCTAACAAAAGGCTCCAATATGATCGAGAGTACCACGGTACCAAGGAAAGCTGTATCTGAGAGCGCTGAAATCGATGAGGCGGAGTTTGAATCAGATCCGGAGGTCTCCAACTGTTTACTGTCCCCTGCCGAGGTCGAGATCAAGGAGCGGATTTGGGTGCACGAGAATAAAGACTATCTGCGGACGCAGCAGGCCAAAGCTTTGAAACGGGCCTTGGAAGAGGCTGATTCACAGCCTGGAATGCATAAGCCACGCAAGCGTCGTCGCGGTAGGTTAGGCGACGTCACGTACCTGCAGGGCGACGGTGAAGACGGTGATGGAAGAAGTACACGGGCTTCTACTCCAGCAGAAGCAACCCGTCGAATGCTGGAACGAAGGGGGTTCAGTAAGAAGATCAACTATCGTTTGCTCGAGTCACTGTTCGGCGAAGAGGGGGCAGAGGAGGCTGCCAAGGCGGAAGGAGAGAGAATGAGCCGCAGTCAGAGTGTGGCATCTCGACGCAGCGTCAGTGTTGAACCAGAGGGTATCTCGAGACGTGCGCGACTAGTGACTCCATCAACTCGCGCTAAACCCCCTGGCTCCCCGGCTCCAACGTCCGCTCCCGCGCCTAGAGTCACTGAACATACTCAGCAAACCGGTGTCTCAGCGGATGAGACTGGTCAGGCGGACCTTAAGGAAAACGCCGCCGAGCCGGCCACCGATGACAAGAACGGGTATTCGGATGAGGAGCCGGATGATGAGTACGACGATGACGATGAAGATCCCGATGGTGTGGATGCTGCTTTCGCAGGACAGTACGGCGATTACTATGACGAGGGGAGCGACTACTATGACAGTGATTAGTGTGACTAGTTTTAGTTTTAAAGTTTAATACCAGGCATAGCGAATAGGGTAGATACCTTGGGATGCGAGAAATGACAATCTAGACTTTGGTTAACCATGAAGATCAAGATGATACCGTTCCTCCGTGTCTGATCATGAGCGACTTCCCGTCGTGAAGAACCTAGGGATATTCCGAGGGGCAAGGAAGAGCAACATGCCCTCCGTCAAGGTCCACATCTCGAACCGTGACCATGCACGAAATCCCCCGACTCCTTCCCATTCTGACTCGGAACTGCCATTCCGGTTACCCATCACGTGTGATCGTCGGCTTCCCAAGAGTCACTCATGGTCACAGCTTCATTCCAAGTTCAAGCTTCTTCCTTTGATCACAATTGCCACTGTCGCCACTGCTCTCATTGTTGCCGTAGACTGATTCCCTCCTCTTATGCTCCATGTTCACTCTGCCTCGGATCCAGCTAAGGGATCCAACATGCATCCCATGAGCGTACTAGTATGCTTGCTATATTACCACCAGTGTCATCTAGGTAGAAGGCTAACCCTCTCCCATCCACTTCATGGATGCGCTTGGTTACAGTACCATCAGGCAAGGGGCAGTTTGTGATGTAACAACCCTCCCAAAGGCGCGATTCTTATGCTCTCGGCCGAGGTCATAGCTCTAGGGTAGAGTTTACGAGAGTTATGCATTCTCCTTCGGAAGGGCACTTGCTCTGTGCAGCGGTGGTGCACCTCAAGTTGAACCCGGGAGTAAGATCCAGTGGAACCCACCATATCCTGCAAGCTGGGTTTATTCACAGGCTTCGAGACTTTCCAGTCCAGACCCCGAATCTGCTGATCATTGGGAATGCCGAGGGGTGCCTGCTCCGCAGCCCAGAATGCATGAATCATGATCAAGCAGTGAGAATTGTCAAATGCTGCCATGTTACCGGCTGACTCTACTTACTCTCTTTGCCCTAGTAAGAAATCAGGAGCGGAATTTCTCCGGCTGGTATGGAACGCCCCTCCTGCACGCGTCTACAAAAGGCTAGTATGGACTTTTGATATTGAGAAGCACCTATCTATAGTGGGCCAGGGTGCATCCTGCACTGAGGCTCTTTCGTCACTAATAGCATATGCTTGGATCCACCGCAGATTACATGCAGCTCACTGTGTTTGCATGCTGATTGACAAACTGAAGCATAGTAATTTCTCTATATAAAGTCCTTCGGGCAGCTACCTTCCTTGCTCTCCGGTTACCCTGTCTTAAGCTTGTCCTTGTGTCCTCCTTCGCAACATGGTGAAGCTTAACATGTACGGCCGAGGGCTAAGCCTTCGGATGGCTATTATGCTCACCTGCCAAATATCGTTTGTCTTATTTGGTGCGAGATCTCAAACTCACTGTTGTGCTGCAGCAGGCTAACATCTGCGTTGGTCATTTGTAGGTTACAATCAGGGTGTATTTTCCGGAATCGTGGGGAATGAAGACTTTCTCAGCGTTGTACATCACCCAGGCTCAGCGACAATCGGGATCATAGTGGGGATCTACAACCTAGGTTGCTTCCTCGGGACGGGAGTGTGTTTCATAATTGGAGATAGGCTAGGGTTTCGAAGGACGATGTGGTTCTCGATGACTTGGATTGTGGTATGTCTACACTTGCAATGTCTAAACTGACAGAATGACCGCTCAGATAACATTCCATTAGGCTGGGGCCATTGCACAAACCTGCGCGTTTTCCACAACGCAGTTACTGGCGTCGCGATTCTTTACTGGAATCGGCACTGGGATTTTTACCAGTATTGTGCCAGTGTACCAATCGGAACTGTGCGACGCACGGAAACGAGGAATGTATGTATGTAGCCAACCTCTTGCCGTTGGGGTAGGCATTGTTGTTGCCTATTGGTTCGACTACGGGATGAGCTATGTTGAAGGACCCGTAAATTGGCGGCTACCAATCGCCTGCCAGATCATCTTTGCCCTCATCGTGACGGTTATGGTCCTCGGGTGAGTGTTCATCCCACCTAACGTCTACATGGATGTGCTGCTGAGCACGTATCTCACGTATAAACAGACTACCAGAGAGTCCTCGATGGCTATACCGGCGAGGTCGTGGAGGCGAAGGCCTGCAGGTGCTTTGTGACTTCCACGATCGCACTGCGAACGACCCTAAGATAATTGAAGAGTCACAAGGGATAACCAAAGCCATCCAGCTGGACATCCTCCGCGGGGAATACAGGTGGTCCCAGATCTTCAAAAAAGATGAACTGCACACGGGCAGACGTGTGCTACTGGCCTACGGGTTGCAATTCATGAACCAAATGGGAGGAGTCAACATCATAGTCGTAAGTCGTGAAGCCGATAATAGCTGTTTTGCCCCAACATAAACTGATTCTCAACCAGACCTACGTCACGACAGGTAAGGATCATGTTCCCCATGCAACTTGAGTTTTACTGAGGACGGCAGTGTTGGAGACCAATGTGGGCCTTGACAAGGAGTTGAGTTTACTACTCGGAGGTGTGATTCAGGTTATGTTTGTCATAGGTAACCGAGCATTCCTCTTGAACACTGCTTATCTGGAAGGTCTGCTGATCCCGTTACACAAGGCTCGTTCTATCCCACATTCTACTCCGATCGACTGGGTCGAAAAAAGCCGATGATGTGGGGATCTTTCGGACTATTTCTTTGCATGATGATGATCTCCATTCTTTTGTCTTTCAAGGGTAAGTAAGCCCCCTTGTGATATGGCTGGGCAGAGGATCAGAGAGCTTATTGTTTGCTAATTCTCAATAGGCACCTCCATGGAGAAAGCAGCTGCTACCGCGTCGGTGCCGTTTTTCTTCTTGTTTATGCTCATCTTTGGCGCGTCCATTAACTGCATACCATGGGTGTACGGGCCGGAGATTCTCCCCCTACACGTCCGAGCGAAAGGGTAGGCATAATAGCCTCATTCCAACCGGTGGCGCCTGCGGAATTTGTGCAAAGCTAACTGAATACTCCCCAAAATAGCCAAGCTCTCGGAGTCTCGGCAAATTGGCTGTGGAATTTCTTCGTGGCCATGATCGGACCAACCTTGATCAACGACCTTGCATGGAAGGGCTACCTGATTTTCATGTGTTTCAACCTTGTCTTCGTACCGGTGAGCAAACATCGTGCGCAGCTGTCTCTTCCATAATAACTAACAAGCATGCTTAGCTTCTTTATTTTTTCTACCCTGAAACTGCCAACCTTAGTCTCGAGGAGATCGATTCCCTGTTCATGCATAAGAGCCCACAATCGTTGGACTCGTCGGAAGAGTGGAAGGAGCCTATTGTCGTTACTACCAGTGTTGAAACACTAAAGGAATAAGGTACATGGATTTTATCATGAGCAGTGTTTGCTACGATGAGTCTAGGATTATGGGTTAATAGATGGGGTTTGGAGTTATATACTTATAGCGCTCAATATATCCTATATAGTTATATAGTTGTATGGTTTAGCAATGCACGCGGCTGGAATGTTGAGGAGGATGTTCATCGAAATAAATGGGGAATATGACAGTTATATCCGGATCTGCACTTAGTCTAGTCTAGCAATATGTTGATCTCTCCTCTCAATGCGATTATTATTATTCATTAGACCCACGGCCACCCAAGCGTTCTCGATCTACTAGAAAAGCAATATAATTTATTCTATGGGTACATTGAACACCGATGTAGATAACAAACAATGTTCACAAGACTAGAGAAATGGTAACCCAGATATCCCAATCTTGTAGAAACAGCGACGCTAATATATATATATATTCACATATTCACTCAACACCTCCAGAGTTTCTCAAATAGATAACTCCATTCAATCCGAAGCTATTTAACAGTATATATAATCATTCGAAGTACTAGCTACTAAGGTGAAACAATATATAAGTTATAAATCAAGCGATTCACTCTATAAATGCTAGTTGTGGTTCCTGGTCATTGCAGTTTTTACTCATTTTTTGTCATTCAGCTACCTTTGTTTTGTTTTTACGTTTTCCTCTTCTATTTTGCTTAGCTATTAAATTAATTTTTAAGTTTTTTTCTACTTTCAATAGCTCCACAGGTAGGATACTAGTATCGCATAGTACAATTATATGGTGTGTAGTGGAGTGCGTAGGGCGACTTGAGTTTACCTAGAGTGGATGCCTGAATGAGTTGTCCGTTCTGCCTGACAACACTATTAGTGGGGTTTAATTCTGCTAAAAGGATCTGCTTTTCTTTCATGTTCATTCTTTCTTAAATATATTTATTTCTTTTGGATCTCTTATGATATCTTTCACAACGATGGGATCGAAATTATGAACACAATGTGAATATGAAAGAAGAAAGAAAATCGAAATGACAAACCATGAGCGAACACCGCAAGTCAATACCACCTTGTGCGCCCTAAAAACTTGGAAGAACAGAAAATGATATCACCAATTTCCCGATACCGGATGATTACGTTTTGCCGAAGAACCCAAATGACAATGAGAAAATATCTGTGCCGAAAAGTCTGTTAGATACGAAGCAAAATATGTGAGCATAACTCGTCGAAACTTTTTGTCGCGCGCGCGCGCCGTCGAAGCCCCTGTCGAGATTTTACGCGTCGATGTCCATGCCCGTCCCCATTCCTACGCTGCCGTTCAGCCCAACGCTCGCGCCACTGCTGACGGGCTGTGCCGAGAGGGTTTGTAAGAGAGGAAGGCCGGCGTCTGCGGGGTTTGCGCCGAGGATATTCTGTGTTTGAAGGGATGCATTATTGACTGATCGGTGCGAGGCATTCAGGATCTGAGCCCCTTCGAAGATAATGGGATTCGACCGGAGGTTTTGAATGCAGGTGTCCCAAGCGGATGCCACCAGCTGAGCCTGGGTGAGATCGTCGTTGAACAAGAAAAAGGCATTGGAGTTTGCTGGTCCAAAAGGCGTGACAGGTCGTGCAGTCACGAGGTAAGCGTTCAAGGCTCGATTCTTCATAAGTATTTGAGAGTCTAGGAGATACGCAGAATATTGTTTATCGATGTATTTCTTCCAGCCGCGCACTGCGGCTGCCATGTCGCCATCGCCGTCAAATGTAATACGTTGCCAGCTGATACCGAGAAGGCGGGTGGCGTCGTCAACTAGCGGCTCATCAGGCGAACGATTTGTGGCGTCAAGGAGGCGGCGGTTGTCATCTTTGCCGCTGTCCTGCAACCGCTGCATTGACGAAAGTGCGATATCGTCAAGTCTTGGAGCGGAGGGATCGAGACGTTGAGACTTCCGGCCAGAGATATTCGACTGGCTGGACTGAAACGCCTGAGAATGCGACGAGACAGATGGTGCAGAAGCAGCAGTGCTCTCCAGCGTTTCTTCGTACCAGGTGCCTGTCTGGGTTTCTGCGGAGAGAACCAGCCCGGTTCTTGGATTCAGAAGAACCATGCCTTCTCCATAGATGGGCTCCTCTTTCTTTACAGGAGCTGGCGCGGGCATGGAGGGCACACTGGGGGCATTCATAGCTTCTTCGAACGCCGCTTCATCACGCGATCTTTTGCGCGATGGCTTTCCATTGACAGGCCCGGATGCAGCGAGCTTTGCGCCAAATGAGGTGCTTGGACCACTCGAGAAAAACGAGCTTGAGTTTTGGGAGACGGTACCAAGCCTAGAGTGGCGAGGGAACTGAAGGAAGGCGTGTTCCTGGGGAGGGGACAGGACCATGGCAGGGCCATCGGAAAGGCTGTTGAGCATCATGGGACACATGGTGGTGTGAAAGAGCTGATAGAATCGGAGGCAACTACAAGAAAGAGAATCCGATCTGTTTTGTCAAAGTGAGCTAGAACTAACAAGATAGAGCAACCTATGGATCACGAGATCCAAGCCGTGAGAAGAAGATCGACGAGGTTAGCGCAACGGACGGTGAGGTTGCGAACCAGGACAGGAGGGTCGATATCCAATGAGATGATATGAGGTGTGATGGTAGAGCAAGGAGGAAGAATGGATGGGGGGGGATGTGACGATGGAAGAGAAGAGAGACAATGATGAGAGGAGGAAGGAAAGGAAGAAGAGAAGGGAAAGAGAGAAAGGAAAGGAAGGGAAAGGGTGGGAGAGAAGATGCAGGGAAGGGAACAACACGAGAGAGGATGAGGGAGCGAACAGCGAACCACGGGATGGAAGGAGAGCAAGCGAGAGAAACGAAAAACGCGTGAAAAAGAGGCTGACGGGAAGCAGATGATTTGCTTGGACGTTTCGGAGCTTCTTTTTTGGATGCGATGCGGAGAAAGGATTTGCTCGCCGCCTCGTTACCGTTCCATACACAGCCTGTCGGCCATTTTTCCTGCAATGTGCGGTTACTGCATACCATACCTTACTGTACTGCTCGTCTTCTCCACCGACTCCAGATCGACCAGCAAGGATGCCGCCATTATTGGACGATTGGCCCATCGCTCCGGGCAACCACCCGGTGGAACCCTGACCTTCAGAGCTCCCCCGATTGGCTCGTTTCCCAAGCCCCGTCCGCGCGTCCGGTCGTTCCAGGAACCCTGTCACCACTTCCCACATCTCTTATTCGTCAATCGGACCCGGGTGGGCCTACAGTTTGAGGAACTTCCTTGCCAATTGGATCGAACGGCTACTCCACTTGGTCTGGGCAAGTCAATGACGATTTGGGAAAGCCTGGACGCCTTGCATTGTGTGGCCTGAGGAAGCACTGTGCATGGCCATTGGGACGCTCAGGCACCTGCCTACCTTCGTCCTCACGCGAGTCCGGAGTTCCCGTCCCATCTTCCGTGCGATGTACCACTTGCTCGATCCGAACAACACAACCACAACTGCAACGCACTTGGAATATTTCAATCAAAATCTATTTTGTCAGAAGAAATAGAAAATATAAATCTATAGTCACAAGAAGGAATGCGGAACAATATCAAGAGCTAGATAAAAGCAATATCCCGACACCAGAACCTCGTGCTAGTTTAACGTGACACAAATGTTCATCAAATCTCAAGCAACACAATGGAATCCTAAGAAGGATCGACACCGTAAAACAACAAAAAGTAGGGACCTCCCGAACGAGATCCCCAAGTCATATCACAACCCCGCGAGATGACATCCAGTGTTCATCAGGCACAGGCTGCATTCCCTGCATGTGGCCGTACCTCCTGGCACTCCGGGTGTCCATCCCGCAGGACTACTGCAGTTGACGAGCATTATCTTTTAAACTGCGGGCCATAAGCTTTATCGTGAGGCCCACTGGGTAAATAGTGGTATAAATAGGTAAAGAAAGGAAGGTTGGTAAGTCTGTGTCGTTCAGTTTCACATGGCACCTGAAGCCGCTCCGTGTTCAGGATACATCCACTCCGTATCTGTCTGGGACAGAACACTTCACAAAGTCAGGCGGCGCATTTACGCGTTCCCAGCAGTGGCGCCACCAAGCAAGCCCTTGACTCTGTCAACAGAGCCGCCAGCATAGCTGGGTGCCATGGATCCAGCCAACAGGAAGAAGATGAGGACAATAGCACCGATGATGATGGACTTGCGCTTGGCGGGGTGGTTGGCACCGTATTCGGCCCAGGCACGGTTGGCCTGACCGGTGTATTCCTTGATCTTATCACCACCGAGCTTGTAGTAGACGAGGCCAATGAGAGCAATGGAGTAACCGAAGAACTGGGTACCGGTGACAGGAGTCTGCCAGATCATCATCGACGCAATGACCAGGAGGATATCCTTCAGAACACCACAGAGGGTCATGACGAGGGAGGAAGTCTTTCCAATCTGTACCCAACAGTTAGTTTAGACAGAAATGCTATTGACCAGGCCGATTCTTACCAGGAAGACAACCGAAACGTTCAACAGGAAGGCAATAACAGCGTTCAGCAACAGAGTCCAGACACCAACGCGGTAAACGTGGTCCATGGTAACGTAAGGGACCTCCATGAACAGAGCAGTGACACCGTTCATCACAGCGCAGACGGGAGCAAAGTAGTACAGGGAAACCAGAGGGTCCATCTTGTACTCGGCGGAGCTAAGCAGGCGCTGCACCATGACCAGACGAGTGGCCTCGAAAATGATACCACCGATCTGGAAGAGGAATCCAGTGAGGACGAACTTGATCTCACCGAAAGATGCAATAATGACACCAATGACAATCAGGGAAACGTTCATGAGCACCTTGTAGTTTACAGGAGCCATGCCCATTCCCCAGGTGGCGAACAGCACAGCGACCGGAGTCGTAGCCTAGATATCGTTGTGAGCGAGGACCAGCGGTTTTGTAATCGAGACGAACACACCTTGAGCATCTGAATAAATGCAACACTGAGGTATAAGTAGGTCACATTGCCACAAATCAAACTCAAACTGAAGAAAAGACCGATAGGTACGATTGCGCGGAGATAAACACGACCAGTCATCTTAACAGTTTTCCGGCCATCGAGTAAAGTGGTGGTGCGGGCGAGAATTTGGGTCATGAAGGTCGCGAATGCCAAATGCCATGTGGTAAGGATAATAGCTGCCACAGTATTAGGATGCCGTCGCTGTATAGTGATTGAGTAAAGGAAACTTACGGAAGCCTGTATGACAACATGGTTAGAACTATCCTCATTCTCTGTAGTCACAAATCTCAGGAGTGTACTTACGGAACTGAGCATAATCGAGGATGTGCTTGTTGAACAGAATGACGCTGGAACTCAGAGTAATCCAAACGCTGCGGACAAATTAGCAAATCCATCCTCTGCGAGACTAGGCTTCCTACACCGTGCACTCACGTCACATAAACCGCGGGGTGGAAGGCAGCCTTGGGAGGCTCTGCCCTCTCAGCGGCCGGGTTAACAGTAGGCAGGGTAGGCTCCGGGCGGGAGACCTCGCCAGAGGTTCTGGCCTTTTCTCCTTCGGAGCTCATTTTCAGGATACGACGTTGGTCTGATAGAAAGCGTTGGAACTCGAAGGGTCGCGGCCGTAGAAGGCTGCTTTGGCTAAATTGCGCGGAGGCCACGGGTGAAGATGAAACGACAGGAAAACTGGAAAGAAAGGAATAAGTCTAGTCCAAGAAGAGGCGAAGAATAGCGTGAATGAATGAACGAGTGGGACAAGAGTTGGCCTGAACTGAAGAATAAGAAAAGAGATGCAACGAGACAAACTTGGCGCTCACGAAAGAGAGATGGGAAGCATGAGAGAAGAAGGGGGGAAGGAGGAAGAAGAGAAAAGGTTGGGAGCGAAATACGTAGTAAGTATACGTTTTTCTTTTTTTTTTCCTTACCCTGCAGACTGGGCTGTGATTTGCTTTTTTTGTCGGTAAGCGTTGCGAGAACGCGGCACGGGTTGATTTATTTAGAGAGATTATTTTTATTTTATTTTATTTTTAAGGGGGGGCAGGACGAGGCAAAGAACAGGGAAGAGAGGGTCGGGGATCCGCATCAACGAGAAGAAAAGAGAGATCGTGGCCCGGGATGAGATATGTCGTTCGCTGAGAGGGAAGCGCAAGCTTGCACTTAGACTCCCGTCGTAAGACCCGGTCCAAGGTCAACGCTTACCGGACATACTACTAGTAGTGTCCCTTAAAAGGCATGCAAGCAACTGCATGCAGCACACGCCTTCTGTTCCCTCCCAGCCATACATTAAGTACTACATGGCACATCCTACCATACATATCTTATTCCTCTCGCATACTCCAACATGTGAAGTAGTCGACAACACCAGCCATTTCATAGTAGTAATAGTATAGATATTAATAGTAATGACTAACGGGAAAAGCAAAAGGAAGGGGAAAAAAGAGAATGTAACCAGAGAGCATGACTATCGATACCGGTACCACCTGGTAACTAACTGACATGGGCTAATCTTTTTTTGGGTTGAATTTTTTTTTTTTTCTTTCTCTTTTTTATTTTATTTTAGTTATTAATATCGTTTATTTTATCTTTTCTGTTTTAAAATTACTTGCGAGGAACTTTACTCCATCGGATTAATTTACTCGACGACCAGACGGCAGTTGAAACGCTACCATTTGATTCTGACGGGTGGTTTCGAGTTCTAGCCGGGCAAACAGTGGAGGACGTGGTGGAGACTGGAGGCGAAAAAGTGCGGTGGACATGAACAGATCGATAAAGTGACTACGCGTACTATACAGTACTCGTACCATTGTTACATGCAGAATTCATTTTGGTCTCTATGATGGACTTCCAGTTTCGTATCGACAGTACGAGGAAGGTATCAGTCCTCCATAACCCGCACAGCTTTCCCTCTCGCAATACATACGTACTCTCCACGTACCTCATGCCTACCCCCTCAATTTTTCCTTTGCATTAACAGATCCTTAGTATCCAGGGTCCAACACAGTCGTACGTCAACCCTTCCCTAGGCAAGTCCCGCTCTTTGTCGCCCATGTTTGAAATTATAACCCTGATTATACTTTGCACTGCTCCAACCTCCTGGTGGGTTATCTACCATAGGAGCAGCACTCCATTGGTGTTGGTGTGGGGCGAGGCCAATGTCCATCACTCTCGTGGCGAAAGTTGGCGAATGGTGTCAATCTCCAGGTGTCCACTCCCTCCCTCCTTCTCTCTCTCTCTCTTGCCCCTTTTCTGGTCTTTCGGATTGTTCCTAGGAAATTTGGTTCCCATCCAAGGTACCAGTATATTGATGGCTTCTACGAAGTTTCCCCCCCTTCTTCTCCTGTTGGACTTTTAAATTAAAATCTCATACATTCTTTTTCCATCAATATTTGCTTAATGACAGTAGTTTAGAGTTCCAGTATCAAACCGTCAAACGTCAGCTTCCGAAACACTTCCAATGACAAAGACTCGAATAGGTGGACAAATCAACAGCGGAAGAATTCATGCTGTGAGCCTGCGACATGGAGAGTGTTGATCAAAATTAACACCGGCTGGGCTGCATTACGCAAGCAGTCTGGGGCCAAGCATTCAGTTACCCGCGTTCAGCGGCCACTTGTCCATAGCGCTGCGGCGGAGGTCCCTTACGGGTGGGGAATGCGGCGATCTGCTGGCTGAGGATTTGACGCCATCACCTTGGTTCAATGGCGTTCAAATAAAATCTAAAATGGATTATCTGTCCACCTTCCTAGATAGGATTACCAGGGCATCGCAACGACCCACGAGGGCCCTGATTTGTTCTACTGAATGGAGCACCGTAACATCCTCCTCTTTGTCACTGCTTGCCTTTCTTACGAGGTATTCCGGAGTCCGGTACACAATGGGTGTCTACAATGGGGGCTCTTTCAGATTCTCTCTCCATGGTACCAACCCCGGAAACAAGTGAATGTGAAGGAATTGTTCCTATGGGCGCAATTTTCCCGACAAAAATCGAACAACCACAAATCAAGCTTGGGGCTTGGAAAGGTCAAAGAAAGCTTTTTCTCCATGGACCCTTCCGTGGTGGCTAACCGCCCCGTTGACCCTGATCAAAGTTCAAACATCGTTGCAGGGTTTCTGGAAAGAGATCATCTCCAGCTTTCCTTTCTGAGAAGGACAATCAGTGGAACCGTTATGCGTCCGGCTCATGTGCTCAGCCCAAAGTCAGTCCTGACAAGTTTGATGGATCGAATAAGGGACGATCACCTTATTCAATTTTATTATGAGTGCTATGATACGGATGTTCATCGCACCACAGAAGAGCCCGGAGGAGAACTCCAGTATTGTAGGATAGCAGGCGTACGTAACTACGTATAGTTATGCGCCGATGCCATTGGCCTTGAACAGCATAGACAACGTTCGACTGCAATTTTGTGTTTGGATCTCTTAGTCTTTGCGATCCTGTAATATTGAATTGACATGAACCATCCTGCCAGATATCACGCAACTGTCATTTAAGATCAGAGCTGATTAAGTGGATATAACCTTTTCCTTCCAGATCTAAAGGCTTATCGCACTTTTGTTAGAGAGTTTGATATGCAATGGCAAAAATTACCCCGGAAAATTATAGTTGCCACTGTTATAATTAACATAAAACAAACTCTCTGTGTCCCTTCTTCCTCCTGCTAACCACAGCACAGGCAAACCAGATGGGAAGACATGTGCCAGTTTGGGCATGGTGACTGGATGTGCTTTTCCTAGAGGAGTAGGTGCCGTCCCGTTTTCGGATAAGAGCAACCGTCGACATGCCAGTCGTCCAGCCCCTGGTGCCTGCCGAGAGAACCCACCATTGATCTTTACATTGATGGAGATGAAGGATGTTAAGATAGGATGATAAGGATGGAGACTGGGACCAATCATGGGCAGCATCCCGCAGGATTATCGTGGTTACAACTACGATAAAGGGATTTTCTCGTGCGAGGAACGGTAGGCAATCCAAGTCGCAGGACCGGACAATCCCACTAGCCAACGTCGTGTACAACTATCAAGTATGGTACTGTACTTCGACAAGAACACAGAGCAGGACTCTGCAATAATTTGTTTGGTACAATGCATCCATAGATCGGGGTTGGATTCGCCTCGTGTTGAAGTTCTAGACATTGAGATTAAGTTCCCCTTATTGTTTATTTTATTTTTATTTTTATTTATTTTTAAATTAAGTTGCTTTTTTTTAATTCGTTTGCCTCTCTTGCATTTTTATTTGGGTTTCCCCTATTCCCCTTACCGGTGGCTCTACCAAAGTTGAACCAACCACTAACCTGGAGGGCTTGCGAATCAATTACCATACAGGTAATTCATCTTATTAGGGCCTAAACTTGAAACAGGAACCCCCCACAGCTTCGACTTGTCACGTTTCGTTTTCCCGGCCTGCGATACACCCGCCGACCTTGGACCTTTCTTTCTTATCTGCCCTGCTTCGCTCACCGTTCTTTTCCATTCCTCTCTCTCTCTCTCTTCATCCCTCTCCTGTCCTCAGCTTCTTAAATACTGCAGTTTCCCTGCAGCACTCTCTCCTTCTATGCTTAGCCTCGCCCGCAGAACCCTGAACCGCGTCCCCAGCTTCCAGGATATCTTACAAGGCAGGATGACCCACCCAGACATGTAAGTACTCGCCAGACTCAGGGGTTTGTTTCGCAAATGCACTGACACAGGGTCTTGCCCGACTACAGTTCCGTTGACGTTCTCGTCATTGGTGCCGGCCCTACTGGTCTAGGTGCCGCGAAGCGTCTCAACCAGATTGTACGATTCCCGAATCTTGAGCTGCGTCCCCCGAATAATATAACTGATTGCCGTCGTTTTAGGATGGTCCCTCCTGGTTGATCGTGGACAGCAATGAGACTCCTGGTGGTCTTGCTTCCACTGATGTGACCCCCGAAGGCTTCGTATGTACTATAATCCAATTGCTTGGTTAAGGCGGCATAGCTAATAAGACAATAGCTCTACGACGTCGGAGGTCACGTTATCTTCTCCCACTACAAGTACTTCGACGACTGCATCGACGAGGCTCTTCCTAAGGAGGAGGACTGGTACAGCCACCAGCGTATCTCTTACGTCCGTTGCCAGGAACAATGGGTCCCCTACCCCTTCCAGAACAACATCTCCATGCTTCCCAAGGAGGAGCAGGTTAAGTGCATCGACGGTATGATCGATGCTGCTCTCGAGGCTCGTGTGGCTAGCACCAAGCCCAAGAACTTCGACGAGTGGATCGTTCGCATGATGGGAACTGGTATCGCCGATCTCTTCATGCGTCCCTACAACTACAAGGTCTGGGCCGTGCCCACCACCAAGGTACGTTGATGCTCCGATAGACCGATAGTGTGCACTAGAAGACAGACTTGCTGATGGTTCGCGACCTAGATGCAATGTGCTTGGCTCGGTGAGCGTGTCGCCGCCCCCAACGTCAAGGCCGTGACCACCAATGTTATTCTTAACAAGACCGCCGGTAACTGGGGTCCCAATGCCACTTTCCGTTTCCCCGCTCGTGGCGGTACTGGTGGTATCTGGATTGCCGTCGCCGACACTCTTCCCAAGGAGAAGACTCGTTTTGGTGAGAAGGGCAAGGTTACCAAGGTCAATGCCAACAACAAGACCGTCCAGCTCGCCGATGGCACCACTGTCGGCTACAAGAAGCTCGTTTCCACTATGTCTGTGGATTTCCTTGCTGAGGCTATGGGTAACCAGGAGCTTGTTAGCCTTTCCAAGGAGCTCTTCTACTCTTCCACTCACGTCATTGGTGTTGGTATCCGTGGCGCTCGCCCCGACAGAATCGGTGACAAGTGCTGGTTGTACTTCCCTGAGGACAACTGCCCCTTCTACCGTGCCACCATCTTCTCCAACTACTCTCCTTACAACCAGCCTGAGGCTTCCAAGAAGCTTCCTACCCTCCAGCTGGCCGACGGCTCCAAGCCCGAGAGCGACGAAGCCAAGGAGGGTCCTTACTGGTCTATCATGTTGGAGGTCTCTGAGTCTTCCATGAAGCCCGTCAACTACGAAACACTCCTTGCCGAGTCTATCCAGGGTCTCGTCAACACCGAGATGCTGAAGCCCACCGACGAGATCGTCTCCACATACCACCGCCGCTTCGACCACGGCTACCCCACTCCCTCTCTGGAGCGTGAGGGCGCCCTCACCCAGATTCTCCCCAAGCTTCAGAACCTGGACATCTGGTCTCGTGGCCGCTTCGGTAGCTGGCGCTACGAGGTTGGCAACCAGGACCACTCGTTCATGCTTGGTGTCGAGGCTGTGGACAACATTGTCAACGGCGCTGTTGAGCTGACCCTCAACTACCCTGACTTCGTCAACGGTAGACAGAACACTGAGAGGCGTCTGGTTGACGGAGCTCAGGCGTTCGCCAAGGGCAAGTCCCTGTAAGCGGCGCGGGCTGCGCGATCACTATAGATCATGACCGGTTTAATATTGAATGATTCCAAGGGGTAAAATCTTTAGATATACATTATGGGCAACGGGAGCCATTAATTTCATTTGGAGCGATATTTGGGAGATGTTCATTGCTGGGCATTTGATGTGAATCAGCGTCTTCTACATTCTTGCTAGATTCTTTTTCTATCTATACATTTTTCCTTTTCCTTTTTGATTCTAGACTTGAACACGGTCTCCTCCGCATTGGTCATGTCTTACTATGCAGACTGTTTTGATATATATAGCTTTTTGGGGATCCTCCAATGTCAAAATACCCTTTGTGTTGCATCGTCGTGGTTCTGTCTGCCGACTCTCTGTTACGAGAAGAGAGCGAGGTAGGGCATCGTAACGAAACAAGCGAGCATTCCAGACTGCCTCAGACCCGTAATGTTGAACATATGTTCAACCATCACCCGAGCACAAAGAACGAACCGAAATCTCCCCGACCCAGCTGGTCTTCTCACGCACAGGCAAAAATGCCGAGCTTCCCGTTTCCCTCCGGACGGAGCTGTGCGCTCGGCACTTCATCCAGTGGGTTTGGGCCGATAACACCAGCGTAGCTCACTTACCGCATTCGGTACGCAGCTTGTACCCTGGTGGAGGACGCTAATTAAGGGTCCTTTCCTTGCTCTCCCTGATAAATTACGATAGACACATCTAGTCTGATCGCATTGACACTATCCATGCAAGAGGCGTAGACGAGCCCTCAAGCTCAGACACTGAGAGATATCAGGATCTGCAGAGCTATTGATGGCTTGAGATGCACGCGCCTCGAGATTTAATTACAGTGCCGACAAGATCATGCCCACCAGTCAAGCGTCGTCTCCAAATTAGTAATGCTGGGTTACTGCTCGCCTGCTACTCAGTTCAGTACGAGTACTTTTAAGCTAACATCCCTACGAAATGCCGATCCCCACATCCAGGTTCGCACCATCCAAATCGACACCGTGGCGGGCCGGACGCGTAAGTTCTCCATCCGGGAGATGATCTCATCGTCGCTATAATTAAACCATCGTTTGCAGACAAGTCGGAGATAGATATAAGCTGTCCCCTTTTGCGTAACTTTAACCACACAAAGGTGATGTGGCGAGTTTGTTCCTTTGCCTTGCTTATTGTTGCCACAGCGGGGTGAGATCCTCTGGCATTGTGGGTGTGGTTCGACGTAACCCTAAGAGGGGACTTGGTAGTACTAATGTTAGCTTACGGGAGTAACTACTTGTTTTTACCAATCATTAGCCCAGAATTATACGACCTCTTTAACGCATGTTTCATCCTCGCATATCATGTCAGACGTAGATTCATCTGACAGATGCGTGTCTCAGTTAGAATCTCACACAAGTGCTGTCTCTTCTACTGGCTGATATAAAAAGAGCCCATGTTGATTGGCTAGACAAATCAACAAAAGTATATGGCGTCTGATATCATATTATATTTAGGTACTTTTGTTCTCGCGGCTTATTTTCTTGCATCGAATGCGTCCTCGTTGTCGCCTTAATCTCGGTCCATGCCATAGCAGTCCTCCAGATGTAGCTGTGTGCACCGCTGGAAGCCTCGATCGCATCTGATCGACGTAGAGGTGTCCTGATAATTCCGGAGGATCTGGCTCGTTTGGTGAAAACACTGGTAGATCACAGAGGGTGATGATGTAATCGCTTTTGATGGAATCTATAGTTACTACTACTACTACTACTAGTAGTAGTGGTGGTGGTGGTGGTGGTGATAATCTTATCCACTCTTACTGTTCACTACCGTCATGAATCTCTTACGTTGTCTATAGTGAAAGGCGTAATGAAACTGATCTGATCAAATTGGTAAAAATACATACACATATCATCAACCTTCATATGTACAGGGAAAACACACAGTCCTGAACATAGCGGCTTATGATACAAGAAACGAAAGGTTCCACCCGAATGCATAGAAGCATTGAGCTCTAAATGCGCTGGGCCTTATGATCGAAGCATTTCATGAAACCATGATCATTGGATATAATGGCGTCTTCAGCTCAACCATCAGAATAGACACTTGCTTGGTGTGTAGGTGACATGGAAGGGACACTCACCGAGATTAAAATGCGTGTTCTGGACTACGTTCGGATCATCAGCACGTTCACAATGAACCTGTGGATAACGCCTGAATGGCATCATGCTGCATTTCGAATAGCTGTTGAGCCCATTCCCACTGGTTATAGTTAGATAGGACATCTTTGAAGATGGATTAACAGCCCGGGGGGTGAACTTGCTCCTTCTTTGCTTCGTACTGGGCATAGCAATGGTTCAGATCTAATTTGGAAGTGATTTCGGTCCCATCGCCGACCGCGCACGTTGCAACCAGGTGATGGACTGCATCACCTACCTTCGCATCGGGCTTAGGTTCCCCGTCGAGCTTGACGTCTTTACAGGAGAAACTGAAGTTGCCTGCGTTCGGGTCAACGGGTTTTTGTAGCAGGTCAGAGATGCTTGGCGGCGCAGCCAGAGCTGCCAGGGGCAGAACAATGAAGGGTAGAAGTAGACGCATATTTTTTTTTTTGGTAAACTGATCTTCTTCGGTAAACTGACGGCAGTGAGCTCGATGATATGCATGCTTCGAAAGGGCATCCAGAGGACCTATTTATATTATGAGATTTCGCACTCCCCGTGAGATGTGTTTCTTTGTTACCCTACGTATATCTGGATGCCCCGTCCTTGTTGGGCAAACCGGGCAACGCCACGCGGGCACTGGACTATGCCTTTAATTTAAAATCTTTCGATAGGAGCAAATCTCTTCCATCGTGAGTATTGACTTGCCAAGCTCTCCGGTGTATAAGAATATAGAAGGCGTAAAGATTCTTGCAAAGACTCGACTCGAGCTATCAAGGCGGCGGACAATGAAGAAGTCAAATCTCACCATATTCAGATTGGCGAAAACGGGCAACTCAATTGGAAGATGGGGGTAAGATCATAAGGCGATTCTAATTCAGGTTCTGGGGAACAGCTCCCCAAAGTTTGTTCAGGAGAGCAATACACGATCACGCCCGGCCGAATAGTTAGTATTCATCTTCGGTTCCAGACTTCCCCGTGTTCACTACTATGGGTAGTTCTATGTTGGTGTAACTGCGATTTGTCTTTGAAAGAACATGTCTGCGCATTCCTGGACACCAACGGTTTTGAGCGAGTCATCTCTGGAGTAATTGATATGAACCTGATTCCGATGTACTCGGTACTACCGTATTGTTTTGCTGCGGAAACTTGTGACGTTCCTTTTCAGAAGCGGGAGTCAGTCTCACTACTATTTCAGACTCACGCTGCGCGATCCGTGAACAAAGAATCGGGGGAGACCTTCTCAAGCTAAAGTTGACCATATGACGATGGTGTCGTTAAATGTCACACAAGAGTCTCTACATTGAATAGTCATTATAGGTCGTTTCCCCAGGAAATATGGTCTGGCTATAGCATCTGCATCCGGTGGAGGCCGACAATGTGACTAGCTTCACCGCACGTTTGAGTCCATTTCATAGATAATATATTTATCTGCTACTCAACTAATGCAGTAGCGTTTACGTCCAGAGGATCTCATCGCTCATTCCGACGATCTGACGATCTCCCACAACTTCGATCGACGCAATAATGGCGTCCAGTGCCGCCTTCTGTGCTGCCGACAGCTCTATAATGCCACAGTTTTCCTCCACCCGCGAAGCAGCCGTGGCTCCCGGTATGGGAATCATGTTGCCACAGTTGCCCTGGTTTGAGTGCGAGCGGATCCAGGCAAGGGCCAATTGCGCCGGCGTGACGCCACGCTCTTTGGCAAAAAGCTTAACCTTATCGACCAGCTCGAGGTTTTTATCAAAGTTCTACCTCTCGTTAGTTCTTTTATGTCAGGTTGAACTGAGGGATAGAAAAGATCGACATGCCTCTGGCTGGAATCTGCCAAACATATGCCGCACGTCGCCCTTGGGAATATCCTCTAGCTTGGTGACCTGTCCCGTCAGGAAACCATAGCCCAGCGGAGCGTACGTGAGGATCGTAATACCATGCTGCTTGCACGCATCCGCCACGCCATTGGTGAGCATGTCAGTGCTCCACAGCGAAAACTCGATCTCAACAAAGCTAATCTGGTAAACAGCAGCTGCACGATGAAGTGTCCTGGCGCCGACTTCTGACAGGCCGACGGCATCGATCTTGCCCTCCTCCACGAGTTCCTTTAGGGCGCCCACGGTCACCTCAACTGGCACCTCCTTGTCTATGCGGGCAGGGCCAAAGACGTTGATTTTCTTGAACTTGCCGAGGATGGCCTGGCACGCTTCGTAGCTGGCGCGTACACCTGCCCGGGTTGTCTGCGGCTTGAAGGTGACGGGGTCGAAACAGGCGCGAATGAAAAGCTGGACCTTGGGTGCGTCTTCGGGATACTTCTCAAAGTATCGGCGCAGCAGCCACAACCCAGTCGTGGGAGGCTCCGGGTCCATGCCGTAGATGGAGGAGCTCGACCAAATGGTGGCGCCACCCGCGATGGCAGCTTTCATGGCGGCAAAGGCTTGCTCGTCGGGAGTGACCTTGGGGCGCCATGTCATGCCTAGGAGGCCGAAGCCGGTGCGGGGGAGGGATCGTGAGACGGTCATAATGTCTGTGCTAATCTTGGTGTCACGTTGTTTGGACTTTGAAAGCAGAAGCACAGTTGACCATCTCATATCCAGCGGCACCCAGCGGCCATATTTATAGAGCCATTATTGGGCACTAGGCAGGGATGGGTCGGATTTAGCCCGGGCTTACTTGTAGTTCCGTGGGTGGGATCCGGATGCCGCCATATAGTTCCTTGGCTCGAACCCAGGTAGTTCTGAGCTCTACTAGTCTTGTATTGGCGTCTTCTGTTCCTATAATTAATATCAGGTTCTGTTAGAAACTCCCCAATATATGAGTGACTTAAGCGAAAGAGCTAGTAGAGGCCATCAGGAAAGGAAGCCCCTTCGGTGAATCGAGACAGGTATTAACAAAGTCGAAGACAACAACAAGAGAAAAAGAAAAGGGGAAAATACAACGGAGTTACCTATCCGCTGTGATTCTGCTTCTTTGAGGAGAATCCTATCTTCGTTCTCAGTCCACCATCGTCGTTTTTGTGGGGTCATAGTTGGCGCCACGGTTGAATTATCAGGTTGGTACCTGCAGCACTCCAGATAGAGGCGCAGAACGGTTTTGATAGAAAGAAGTCTGTCCCTATAACGTAACCGACCCCCTCTTCATACACACTATATGGCAGTGCTGTGTGGCGTTGGTTGTATCCATAAGCACTGATGCCATTTATAATCAATATTAACGTGGGCCTAAGCTGGCTATAGTAAGATTTAATATTTGTGAATGTGACTTGGATATCGGCAGCAAATATATCTGTGTGACGCTGAATGGCTAAGATTAAACTAAAAGAACTAAACTTCGAATGGCGTACTAAACGACCCCTCTTTTTTATCTTCCCCAAATCACCGGCCCGCTAGTGCCGATGCTTGTTCCCAGGGTCTAGCTGCGGTCTGCCTGCCCATTGGGTGGCGTAATTCAGCTAACTCGGAAGCACAATGGGGCAAACCCCCAACTAACGTAATTCTCAGGTAAGTAAGCCGCCATCCCCCCCCTTGGAATTCAACGCGTTCAAATTCGAAGCTATCCAATCCAACCAAAATAATATATTATTTCATTGGATCTAGATAGTATTACATGTAGGGCATCTAACTCTAGTATGCCCTATAATAAAGCAACGTGAACACCTTGGTGGCGCGTGTTTTAGTGGTTCAAACGGTACAGGCGCAGAACTAATGGATGAACCCCCTGTCTCGTTCCCTGGCTCATTTCTTGCCCGGGTAAGACCCCTAGCTTCCTGTATACAGAGTCATTTACTAGGCGTCATCTGGCGTCTAGATCGCTTCCTTTTCTGCTTCTACTTCTCGTTGGCGGCGCGTAGATCGTGGTTTTCCCTCGCTAGTAGGGCCGCACTGTGCATAGCCATCTCGCAAGCCTTGATAAGCTGCTGTATAGCTACTTGTGAAGGCGCTAGAGGGCTCTAAGATCATTGTTGTAGAAGCCCCTTGACTGAGGATGCTTGCTTTTGTAATTACCGAAGTGTATGAAGCGTAGCAAGCCACGATGAGCTGGTTGATTGACTTGCACGGCTTGGAGGAGGTGGAGGGGTTTGATACACAGATATCCAGCTCCTCAAGCACCCTATCTGGCTCAAGAGGGTAGATTCCAGCTGCTGCGAAGCCATTTTGAATATTTAGAGGCTTAAAAAGCCTCTAGATGAGCTGTTGGATACGCTCGAAGGAAGTCAAACTTATCATCAATATGGTTATATCCTAAGCGCATCTTTTGCTCCACGAGACCATTTCTTCAACATGAGATGGCCTAGGGGTGCACCCTGCGCAGGTCCCTCGATAGTATCCATTCGACTAATGAGTCTTCCTGCGGAGGAGATACTCTATGGTTATTTGCGCGTTTTTCAATTCGATACTGGCATCTATTGAGTCGGTCACGGAGTGTAGATCTAGGCACGTTGAACATCTCTGCGGCGCATTGAACACTTGAAATTTCCTTCTTTTCCAAAGCAGATACTGCTCATTGGATCCTTCTTGTTCCACCAAATTTCTAGACGGTTGACGCGGTTTTGGTGGCATGATAGCAATATGGATAGCTTCAAATTTGAACGTATTGAATTCGAATGGGGAGTGGCGGCGGCTGAACCTTGGGAATTACTACGTTACTACGTTGCGGCGTAGTCAGACTAAGCCTTAGTCTTCGGGGTCGTGTGATGATGCTGCAGTAGTTTCTACGCTACCCAACCGTGTTGTTACGACATGCTCGGCGGTGAGGGTGCGTATGGCACGGATCGCGACTGCAGGGCCATTACATTTCATACGGCTCAAATCCCAGCTTATCTGCGGGGATTTGGGCCTTCGATGGCAGAGAGGGGATCCAAGTGATTGATCAACCCATTTTCGTACGCAACAACCTCCCGTACGCAGTAAAGCTTTCAAGCAGCTTCAGACATAATGGCATGTTCCCGATTTTTGGAGGGGTGGTGTGGAGTACCGAATAGGATTTCTACGAAAACTTCCAGAGAACTTCCATTTCCGTATCCAGCCCCCACTTGCCGCCGCTTTTCGCTCGGTGGGGAATTTACATTAACCCAACTAGGTTAATGTCCGTGCGTCCAGGCAAGCACGCCCCCAACTAGGCCAAAAGGTTATATTATCTTGAATCATAGATTCAGGACTAGAATCCCCTGGACTGCACCTGCTATATAGCCTACCACTACTACAGGTGGTCAGTGAATCTGTGGTACTTGGAGCAAGGATGGTCAGCTATTTTAGAGGTCGCTTTATTTATATGAGATTCCTTCTATCGAGTCACCGAACCCGCTATTACACTCGGGCAAAAGGCTCACAGTTGAATCCTGAGCAAGGCTCGATCGAGTAGGTGGTATATATATAGGGTCACGGCCTATCTTATACAAGAGATCACATAATACACCATATATCCGTAGTGGTGGCTCGTGGATTTGGGAGCCTGTCCCACGCTAGTATGTATAGGTTCACATCTTATAGATTCCAAAGTAGACTTTCTATACTCCTGTTGTCCTGGGGCTAACCAGCTCTGTTATAAGCAGTTCATCCTCCCCGGATATTGTTGCTTAGGTACTACATTCGACGTGCCAGTCTGTACGCTTTTGTGTATTGTCTTCATAGACAGGCAGTTATACCTGCACTTGGATTGCTTCTAACTTCGTGACACAATAACTTCGTGTAAGAGTTCGTGGGACAAAACTCAGTCAGGCAGAAGACCGAGCTCACCCCTGGCCACCAGCCATGATCGCGCCAACTAAACACCAACACAGACATAATATCCTAGCCACAGAGTCGTACAGGAAGACCCCACGTACGGATTCCAGCTGTCAAACTGCGTGGAAGTAATGGAGTACTGTTGCTCGATTGACCAGCAGCTATCGCCACTAGCCACAAGATGCCACTTCGCGCATGAGCTGATGGTGTCCGGCATCGGCCCTTCACTCTTAGTCGCAACGCAATAGTAGTACCCTTGTTGCAGGTTACTGCAGCTTGGGCCGATCGCCGGATTCCATTCGTAGAATTTGGCCGCTGTGAGGTAGGAGTACTTCTTGTTGATGATCGACCAGCAGTCGTCACCTTCTTGGGCCTGGTAGTAGGCCGAACAATCGGCGGTAATGCCAGACTGCGTGGGAGTGGGCCCAGTGCCGGCGGTAGTTGTGCTGGTTGTAGTCTTTGTCGTGGTTGCGTGGGTCGTTGTCGTGCCACCTATCACTTCGTGTTTTAGTTTTTGCGCGATAGGAGGCGAAAGAAGGGAGTGGATATACCGGAAACACCAACGCAGACCCAATAGCCTGCCTGGAGGCTGCTGCAACTTGAGCCGACTGCGGGATTCCAGGCGTAGAAGTCACCAAGTGTGATGCCGTGCTTGGTTGCAATAAGAACACATCCATCGCCAGCTTCTACGAAATAGTAGTTGTTACCTAGGGTATAGTTAATGGGGACCTTAGGTCAAGTGGAAGCACATATGGGGGGTTTAGGGTAAGGTAGCATACAGCTAGATATGATCCCACTTTGCTGGGGCGAGTGGGGTGCAGATGTGGTTGTTGGTGAGGCCGTCGTTGCTTTGGAGGTGGTCGTTGAAGAAGTGGACCCGGCAACGCCAACGCAGACATAGTAGCTTGGCTGAAGTCCGGAACAGTCGGCTTTCACAGCACTGGCCGATGCACAAACAGTTAGTGATGCTGCCATCCTCTCGATTTGGATCGAACTCACGGGTTCCATGAGTAGAATTGTTCTACAGTAAAGTTGCCATATGAATTGGCAATCCCCCAGCAAGAATCATCCTTCTGCACGTAATAGAAGGCATTGCAGGAGGAGATCAACCCAGTTTGAGTGGGAGATGGGCCTACCGCGGTGGTCGTAGTGGCTCCTGCACCTGTAGAAGTAGAGGTGGTAGTGGCTGGGGTCTCTGTAGTTGTAGTCGTCTTCTCGGTGGTGGTCGGAACCGTCGGAGCTTCCACACAATAGCTCCATTCCTCATTCAGGGTGCAGTCAGTCGCTGTCAGGGATGGGTTCTACGGCAAGTGCCCGTGTGAGCAGTCAGCAATCTTGAATTTCATCATGAAAAGCGTTTTGTTTCTGCTTTACCCAGGAAACAAGCTGCGCCGTAGTGATGCCGTAGTAGCGCTCCAATGCCGCACAAGTGTCGGTGGACTTGATCGAGTTGGCCCAGTAGGTACAGCCACGGTTTACATTTGGGTCCGTTTCACCAGTTGCAAAACCCGCACTAGAGAAGCGTTTCCCGAGGGTAGCAGCGTTTACTGACCCGAAGAGCGACAGCCCGAGAATCTGAGCCAAGATCATGATGAGACGCAACCCGGTGACTCAAATGACTAAGGGAAGACCGTATCTATTCCAAATCGACGGGAAATAGAAATATCGGACGTGTGCTGTCTCTTTCACCATGCTACGCGCGCAGCCCACCGAAGATGTAGACCTAAAGAGGGACGGAACTATAGAGCCTTTCATGGCGAGGAAATCAAGCGCCAACAACAACGGAGTTTATAGACAGCCGGCCGGTGCATGCCGCCGAAATTTCTTCCGTTAAACTAGTGATAAGACTGGATTGAACTATGAGAAACCCATGACACTAGTCACCTCTACTCAATATAGCAAGTTATGGTTACATTAAACGCAAGTGACCTATACCAAGTGTGACGGCCATGTAGAGCTCTGCCAACGATGTCGGAAGAAGGCATGATAAAAATGAGAATGACATGATGATTCACATAGTGGAGCACCGTTGGATGCCTGGCAGAAAATCCAATTTGCCATGCAGTTTGAGATAGTACAAGCTCCATCTCGTGCCATTCGTCATTGAGATCCACTTATTTAGCAGTCAGGATCTAGAGCCGGTACGAGCCGGAAGGAGCCGGGCCTTCGAGATCCAGACCAGATGTTCACTCGAAATTAAAATTGCGCCGTTATATCGGGCTTTAAACCTTGCACGTCTTTATGCCTACCGTGACAAACTTCGGTAAGCAATAAGGTCCTTGGAGCCAGGTTGTGCCCGATTAGGTGCTACTAAGGTGCGTATATAGCGCAAGAACCACATTCATCCTAGTGAAAATACACTTGCGTCCAAGAGTGCTTGCCCCACAAAGGGGTGGTCACGGAGGTGCGAAGGGTTTTGGAAACGAAACAGGTCAGGAAGAAGGACTCAGGGGTGATATGCTAGGCATACTATACATCTCCAGGAGCTAGTATAGCACCAATTAGTTGATAGGTCATAGTGCTATCGGTGTTACGGGTCGTATTGATCGAGAATAACGACACTAACGACACGACGGAGCGGCAACTTCGGAACACAGCCTTCCGGTCTTGTATGTGTTGGGATATCGGTATGAGGATTGTATGCGTAATATCAGTGTTGTGGTACTAACTATTGGGAAGAATAAACTATCTCAGACACTCGTTGCTTTGGCATACATGGCTTCAGGGAGCACTATCTTACTGCTGAACACCATGTATATGGGCCTTTATCTGACAGTGCCAATACTATCACGGACAGTCTTAATTAGGTGCTAAACAAGACTATTGGGGTGCACATCAGTGTTGTATCATGGCAAAAACTGCACGCAAATCTGTTTCTGCGGACCAGTCGGAGGTGAGATGTAATCCATGATGGCCCAATTGGTACCTGGCATTAGGAAGTCTGGCTCCTCCTTCCTCTTGAAATGCGGTGTCCACCACATATATTCCTGTATATGCTCAATATCAGGTAATTCTTGACTCGTGAATCTTGAGAGAAGAGCGATTCCCTCTTCATACTTCTTCTTCGCTGCCAGCTGCAAGTCCGCTGACCCTGGGATGACATCCTTTTCCAGAAGAAGCTTCAGAATACTCAAGCGTCTAAAATGTACTGCAAATCCGATGGGGCTCAAGTCCCATTCGTCAAGGTCTCCCGGAGAGTCTTCATCCCAACACCATAATTTCATTCTTAACTTTGAGTTCGCCCCATTGTCAATGAGCATCTCGACCATCTCGTATTGATCTTCCATGATCGCGATAAATAATGGTTCAGCGTAGAGCTCAAGCTTCAATCCGTAATCGAAGAGAAGTTGCAGTAGGAGTTTATTATTTCGACGTACAATATGACAAAGGCCTTCGTTATTATTCAGTTGCATACCATGTTTGAGCAAAAGCTCGACTAGTTGTGGCTGATCCGTGCATATCGCTTGTTCGATAGGACATGGGCACTCATAGGGCCCGGAGCGTGCCCCTAAATCAAGAAGGCGGGGAATAACAGAATTGTTTTCGGAGTCAATGGCAACACCTAAAGCTGAGCGAGCCTGATAGTGATCTCCAGCAGGATGCAAGGGGGCGTTATTCTCAATCATCAACTCCACAAGGCTACTAACACGAGACCGGATTGCCCAGTGAAGAACCGTACGTAGCTGCGCGGGTGAACTTGCTCGGCCAGGTCTTCTCTCGGACAGCATTGCTTTGAGAGTTTCAATGTGCCCACCTTGGGCGGCAGCTAAAAGGGGGTTGATTTTGAAGAGCTCAGCCGAGTCATCCGGGTCATGAGTGACTTCGGTTGGTCTCTCAAAGGCGGAAATGTTTGCGCCAGCATCAAGCATTCTTGTCACCAGGCCTGTGTTTCCATTCCGCGCGGCACAGAACAGGGCCGAGCTTTGATGATGCTCGACATTGAACCGACACAGAAAATCATATAGGGCATGGTGTAGAGTCTTGTTGGTTCGTACAAGAGCGTTGATGTCTCTCTGGTTGTGCAAGCTTTGTGCACTTAGAATAAGCAGCTCAAGCGGCAGTTGATCTAACCGGGCCATAATTTTGGAATGACGTAAAGAGATTGCGTCGAAGGCGAGGGTGAATACAAAGAGGAAGTAGAAATATTCGAAGGCAGAACGGTAATAGAGGGGTGGTCACATGTTCCATACTACCCTATTTCGTTATAGTTGCGCTTGGCCTGACAAATACATCCATAGTTAGTTCTAACCTGTTTGTAATCTTAATAGTCTTGCTATAGCCTATCTTCATTATTTGACTTAATGGTCGCATAATAGCGACTGTAGAATTTTACAGCAGCCAACATACTAGGCTGGGGAGTTCTGTACTCCGTATATCCAAAGAATGAAAGGCTAAAGCCTATATAGAGGGCAGTGAGTTTAATGTCCCGCCACTTGCCTGAAAGCCATGCCACAGCCTCATCCACATGTATCTTCCCACTGAAAGCCATGGCGTGCACCTGTCTCACCTAGTAGTCGAACACTAAATACTGATACTGTCCAGAGCTGCTTTTTATTCTATATTTATCACGAGGTGCCTCCCCGCATTTTGTCGCCGACCAGTCACACCTAGAGTAATACATTGCTTTTGTCGCAACCATAGATTAGCGTACAGACCAGTTGCAGTAGAGGCTTAGGAAGTTTACAAACCTAGACCAAAATATGCAAGGGTATCTAGGAGACTTTAGTAAATGGAACCGTACATCGATCAAGCGCATGTGTCTCAGCGTACCGGCATTTTTAACAGTCAGCTCCGGGTGATAGCCAGCAAATGCTCTAATTCGTGCTATTTGATACGCCTTTTCGACTGTTCCCCGGTGAACGAAGCTCTGGTCACCTGAAGGCCATATGCTGTCAGCTTTCAAACCCGAAGGACTAGCTCCAATAATAGGGCAGACCTGTCTTATCACTGCCAAGGATGCTTTCGCAATGTGTGAGTTCGTGAAGAAGTGTGCCGGCAGCAGCTGTAAATTTCATGTCATCCATGGTCTTGCCATTCAAAGCGGACACATCATTCGCGTATTGGGAAAGCTTGTTCGCTGTATTAGTTCTTTTGAATGTACCCGGACAGATAGTAATCTCGTCCTTCAATGTGACATCGTTCTTGAGAGTCCATCCGTGGACACTTTCACTCTCATGACATAGCTTCAGAGTAGCCGATACTCTCAATCCCGTGGATGCCTCTCCCACAGGCCGCGTGTCTTTATATACACCTGTGGATTGTTTTATTTTAGCGATTATTACCCGTGTTCGAGCTCAGCATGCTAAGTAAAACTCACGCTTTGTTTGAGTACTTTCCTCGGGTTGATAAACCAAGAATTCGTCGTTGCAGTGAATCGTAACTGAGAGTGTTGAATCCGTTAAGGCCTGGTGGATTCTTTTATAAATTGCTATCAGACATCATCAATTAGTGTACTTATTCCCTTTTTCAACACTGTTAAGTCATCCGATTCACGTCGGATTATTGGAGACAGGTACGAAATAGTACTAACAGGATAATAGCGTCATCTGTTGCAGTGTCCTCGTCCATGAAATCAATCGTTGATTGTTCGCCCCTTTCGTGCTGGGATTGAACTGGATCCACCCCATAAACATCTGCCATGCGGTAAGAAGCCTCCTATTTTCAGAATAACGAGTTCCCCAATCTTTAGGCTGCTCTTTCTCCTTGATGACGTTTTGTATTATCCTGAGTTGTTGCTGTGCCTGGACCAACTATCCGGACTGTTAGTTACACCGTTTCCAAAGTCTCTATGACTGCGTCCACGAGGGACCCATTGGGCAAAGATATTCACCTACCACAAGCTTGATTTCATCGAGTTCCTCCTTGATATATCTTTGTTGAGCATCGTCACATGTTGAAGAGAATGTTACGCCGGGGTAGTCCAAGGCTCTCTTAGAGAGATGCCTGTGCGGGATGCCGGAATCATTGGCTTTCAGGGCATATTCTGCAAGGTCAGGGGGGATTTCAAAAGGAAAGGCAGCTGTATAAGGCAAAAGGAGTGTCCACAGGAATAGTTGGATTCCCACTGTCCAGTTAAGGATAGACTGAAAATGAATGCGGGCCTTCATTATGAGAATAAAAGAGAGTAAATGAAGATATGGTCAGTGGTGAAAAGAGCGACATCAGAAGTAGAAGTGAAATGAAATAGAGACAGATTGAATTTACTTAAACAGTGTTGATGGATTGACTGCCTTCGCGGATGGCCTGGATGCGATATCTCTTCTTACTCCCATTACGTGACCAAACACGTCTTGTATCGTCCTTAGTGCCAAATAAATGACTCGTATTCTTTCTCACCCACGCTGGGTGGACATGGGTGTAGCATTTGATTCTTTCCTAGGCCCATGTCACAACGGGGATATACCTAAGAAGCGATGCATCCTTGGACTGTAATTGACATGGTCAAATGCGAAGCTAGCCATACATCGGAGCCCAGCGGGAGCCATATTAAACCACTACTACGGAATAATCTATCCGTTGAGAATCATCTTCTTGCAAATGCTATGGTGCCATCTCATATCCAATAGTCCTCTCCAGCCACCTTAGTCCATGGCGCTATTACATATTCCTCAGAAAATGTCTCATCTCTGAACCGAGCTAATTTCTTTCCAGCGGAAACAACCCATGTGCTCTCCTGAGTGACAAGCTAAAAGATGAAAGCCGGAATAACGGCTCGACAACTGTGCAAAATTCCCGAGCATCTTGAAGTGGGATCCTTATAATACTATACCTCTCCAACATAGGCTAGCTGACCTGGGGCGAGACCGTGAGTCTAGAACACTATGTAACCTCATAAAATTGGCTCTAACTAATTTCGTCAAGCTTTACAGTAGTGCGAAGGCCCAGACGGTGTTGATTTCTTGGTGTTTGCGTCGGTGTAGATCTAGTTCGTGCGCTAAAATATGCAACATCGGTCCACACGCTTGGTCCAACGGAATTGCAGGAGACCACAAAGCCATGTGGGGGTATACAATTGAAACATAGTATTGTTTGGCCTTTGCTCTGTCGCCCCTTTACAGCTAATTTAATTACGCAGTTAGGCAGGAGGTATAGCAGGGACGCAGACTTGCAGCCATATAGTTAACGAACGGGCAGGATCTGACTAATGTACGACGGTGGTCCCTGACAATAGATAACAAATGTATAAGAACCCTGACCAAGGCTCAAACTGGCCGGATTCACCATCCGTTGTTCTTGGGCTTCATTAAACGTTCCACAGTCATGAAATATCCAACAATAACAGCATGGTTGCTGTTCAGCAGCTCATGCATGGTTCCCTCTGCCGAAGCCGGAATGGGAACCTGCTCTGAGACCGAGAAATGTGAAACAGGATGCTGCTCAAAGGAAGGATTCTGTGGCTTTGGTCCTAGCTTTTGTGGCAATGATGTCTGTATCTCAACATGTGATGCAGTAGCTGAGTGCGGTAGTAAGTACTTTTATGAGAGGGTTCATGCCAGCGATTAACCAATATCTAGAATACGCACAAGTCCCTGGCACAGAGTGCCCATTAAATGTGTGCTGTTCTGAATTTGGGTATGCATAGTGGGCTATGTTCCACGATCGCTTGCTAAGCATAGGTAGATTCTGTGGCACCACGGCCGAGTTCTGTGAAAAAGGATGTCAGAGTGGGTGCGATCCAGTCAATCGGCCGTATGTCCCTAGACTTGTGTCAACCCCGTCCAGTCAGCCGCTAATAACGCCATATATCAGGTCTTGCTCAGGAACATCAAGTGAAGCGATGTACATTGGATACTATGAGGGATGGAACCCTGATCGGCCGTGCGATGTCGTGCTGCCGGAGAATATCAATGTTAACCCTTGGACTGTGCGTTGCCTCTGGCTCAGTGGGTATCTATATACAGCAGTAGCAGTGCTAATAACGTGTGTCAGCATTTGTATTACTCATTCGCAGGAATTGATCCGTCCGATTTTACAATCACCACTACTAATGCCAATGACAAGACGCACTGGCCCAAGTTCACTGCATTAAAGAAGAAGAAGCCCTCACTAAAGACGTATATCTCGGTAGGAGGCTGGGACGTTGGAGGCAGAGTCTTCTCTGATATGGTGCGGTTTCCTGGTACACGAAAGGCGTTCATTGACTCGGCTATCTCCATGATGACCGAATATGGCTTTGATGGGATTGATATTGACTGGGAGTACCCTGCTGCTGAGGATCGCGGTATGCTATCTGCTTGCTCTGAGCGTGTATAACAACACGCATGCCCTTGTAGCACGTCACAATCAGATGCTAATTACAAGCAGGTGGCGCCCCAAGAGACACTGCAAACTTGGTGAAATTGCTTTCTGAGCTCAGGAGCGCAGTGGGAACCAAATTCGGCCTCACAGTTACCTTACCATCCTCGTACTGTCAGTTGGAGTCAATTGATAAATCCATGAATATTTCGGTTAAGACTGGTACTGACTATGGGACAGGGTACCTAAAGGGCTTCAACATCGCCGATATGGTGAAATATATCGATCATTTCAACTTCATGTCTTATGATATCCACGGAACCTGGGACGGCCGCACCAGTAAATGGACGAGCTCTGTTGTTAACCCCCACACAAACCTGACCGGTATGTTCCTAATGCAATGCTGAGTCTCAGCTCCTCCCTTCCAAGTGGCAATGGAATTAAGACCCGACAGAAATATCCGCTGGCCTTGATCTTCTGTGGCGCAATGGAGTGGAACCCAGCAAGGTTCTGCTCGGTTTGGGGTTTTATGGGCGCTCCTTCAAACTGGCCGATTCCACCTGTAACACTCCTGGTTGTGACTTCTACACCGAGAACCATAGCACTGGAGGCGCGGTCGCCGGCGAATGCACCGGAACCAGCGGCTTTCTATCAGACTATGAGATCAATCGAATTATCAGTGACTATTCAGTTGATGTCCACTATGATGAGGCTGCTGCTGTCAATTGGATGACCTGGAGTGGAGATCAGTGGTATGTACACTCAGAACTTTCATTCATCCCCTGATATTCCATTCGTATTGGCACCCTGGTGATTGACTACCATGGTATCTAGGGTTTCTTTTGATAACGGTCATACGCTCAAGCAGAAGGCTGACTTTGCCAATGGTAAATGCTTGGGTGGGCTCTTCAGTTGGGCTCTCGACCTTGGTGGCCCTGGCTCTATGAAAAACCCCAACGGGATGACGGCAGATGATACTAGTATGGACGGGGCGAGTGCTGAGGGAGGCAGTGATGGAACCGGTCTTCTCTACGTGGGACAGGAGATTTTTGGTGATTCACCCACCGTGACTGCCATTGCCCCTGTCAGCATTATTTTCCCTAAGTCTATTATGAGTATCCCGACAACTATTGACTTTGGAGCCGGTTATCCAACCTCCTTGGAGGTGGCATGGGGGACCACCAAAACAGTCACTGTTGATGGTATCACGACTGTCACTTCGACAGTTACGCGGTATATAATGCCGACTACTATTTCACTACCGCCTATTACCACAGACACTGTCTACTACTATAACTGGAACATTAGTGATATTGTCACTACCAGCAGGGGGCTCCTTATTCCAAGTTTTGAGATTCCACCGGTTATAGTGACCAATCATCCAAACCCGCTGAACGAGACAAGCGTCACTCACTCACCCCTTGCAACTCGCACAGTCAGTATTCCTCCATGGCCGTGGACTACTGATGGGACCCAGTATCCTGCCATCACGTTTACTCAAGGTCATCCTCCCGGTCCAACTTGCACCGCCAATTGCGGCCATAAGTGTTACAGCTTTTGCAATGGACCCTGTCTAACTGACTGCGGAGTGGGGAGCACATCCAGTTTCGTTGACCCAGAGGATCCCGATGCTCCTTCGGTCAGCAAATGCTCAGGTCCTGGTTGTTTGAATGGAAAGTGCACTGATCGTGGGCTCTGTATTGAGAGAGGATGTACTGGCAAGGACTGCAAGAACCGGATTTGTGTTGGAGATGAATGTATTCCCACAGCCTGTACAGGCCCTGACTGTGACAGTGGGCACTGTAATGGTGATAAATGCCAAGACCACGGTTGCATTGGTGAGGATTGCGATGGTAAGGCTGGCAAAAGCAACAACAACGACAATGATGACAACAATGATGACGATGACGACAGCCATGGCGGTGGAAGAAGCTCAGGCCGGTGTTTTGGGATTTTCTGCCTCTCTTGGGGCTGTTTAGGTAGCCAATGCTCCCACACCGACTTTACCTGCAAAGGCCCCCAGTGTCGTGTTGTAACATGTTCCGGTCCCAACTGCAGTAATGGTGTCTGCACGGGAAAGGGCTGCAAGACCGAGGATTCCGACTGCGAGCACCAAGAGGCAGATAGCTGTACAGCATATATAACCAGTCAGCTGATTACGCCTGCCTCGACCTATTCAACCACTACGGTGACTAGCCGCTGTGAAACTATTACGGCCTGCGCGGCTAGACCGACGACGGTGACCAGCACTATGGACGAGAATGGTTTGAACGAAGGCACTATTTCCAATATTGATTACGCCATGAGTGATGATCCAGCGCTCGCAAGCTATCTTGATGAGCAATTGAGCAGCTTCTTCGACTCAGCGTTTGCCACCGCCACAACCACTACCAGCACTACGAGCACTACCGAACCCACAGCCTCTTCAACGAAGACGACCTCTACAGCACCTACACCATCTGAAACAAGCTTCAGCTGCTCAGGCTCCAAGCGATGCAAAAGCTTCCCCAAGATCCACTCCTTCTGCGATATGGCCAAGAGCTTCTTGAAAGACAATACATTATACGGGTAGGTCCCTTCGCTTCAACCCGTCAAACGGGATATACTGAGATTGTGAGCAGCAACACAAAAAAAGGTATGGACAGTGGGACCTGTTATACGGACGGTAAGAATGCCGGTTTCGGTTGTGGTGTCTTCGTGGAAGGCGATAAGTGCCAAATGACCGGGGCTGAATTGGCTGCGTGGGTTCATCTCATTTCACTCTCTGTCTATATTAGCCTGACTGACTTCTCTGCAGTACCTACGATCATATTTTTCAACAGACTGGCGGAGACTGCAAAAAGTGCGGCCGTGCATATTTCGCCAATGGATGCGAGGTGCACGTCGACTATGTCAGTAAATGCCATACTACAAATGGCATTCTGGTGCCATATCCAGGGAATGGCTCTGATGTCATGACGGCTTCATCCTCGGCCGCCCCAACCTTGGCGTTGGAGGGCTGAAGGCTTGGAGTTATTACTAAACTCATTGTATAACTAGGACTGCAGCATTGACATATCTAGAACCACCGCGGAGCCAGACCCCCTTAGTCTATGTGTCACTGCGCTATGCGCGTATGCGCTGTATATCTCGTGTAAGATGGCTGGACAAAATATAATCGGTGGGTATTTGTATAAGGTCTAGCGTATATAGTTTATACTACTAATTACTTTTGGTTAGTTCAGTAGCTCTTGAGCCGTTAGTTCTGATGGCAGTGACTAGTATAAAGTCCTGGGTAGGTAGCCACTGCTCCTGAGTCCCACTCCCCCCCCCCCTTCTTCTCCCACCTCCAACCAAGTTTTCAAAAATGGTCTCCTATCCTTTGCTCTTTCTAGCTTTTCTACACCTAAGGATAGTGCTAGGTGCGGTATCCTTAGATGAACTGGCCTCCAAAATCAACCATCTCCGGTCCCAACGTCGCTCAAAACCTCTCCATGAAGTAGAGCTCGTCTCCCCCTCTCGTCTCAAGCTGCTAAACACCTTGGAACCCGAGACACAGAGAACATACAGCTCGAACTGGGCCGGCGCGGTACTCCACAACCCAGCCCCAAGCGCAGCATACACCTACGTCTCGGCAACCATAACTGTCCCAACTCCAACCCCCAGCCCAAGCGACAGCACTACCTACCAGGCTGCTTCTGCTTGGGTTGGCATTGACGGCGTCACCTCCACGAAGGCAATACTACAGACCGGCTTTGACCTGTACGTTATAGAGGGAACCCCACTCATCGATGCGTGGTATGAATGGTATCCAGGTTTTGCCCGATATTATGCGGATTTCACCGTGAATCCAGGGGATGTAATCGTGGCTTCTGTGAATGTAACTGCGCCGGATCAGGGAGTGTGTCTGATTCAGAATCAGAGTACCGGGGAGGCAGTGTCACAGACAGTCTATGCGCCAGATAGCTCGGCGACAGTGGTTGGGTGGGACGCGGAGTGGGTGGTAGAGAACTTTGATTCGGACGGTGAGCCCGCACCGCTTGTGTCGTTTGATCCGGTTCATTTTGAGAAATGCGCTGCTTATGCTGGTGGTGTTGGACATGGATTGGAAAATGCCACGGTTTATGAATTGGTCAAGAATAAGATGGTTGTCGCTGGTGTTAAGGTTGTGCAGGACGACATGGTTATTACGCGCTTTGGGGTCTGATTGTCAAGCAATCAATCGGGCTCCTATTAACTTGCAACTTTGCCTCGTTTTCTAGTATGCTTCCTGAAGTTGCAGAAGATATAAGTGGTTTTAAGACTTGGAGTATTGGACCTCAACGAAGCATTAGGAGTGAAGCTTTTCTTCTTCTTCTTCTTTTTGTAAAAAGAATTGTAGCAATGAAATCGTTTAAATGTCTGGATCGTCTGTTAGTAACGAATACTCCTTTTTTTAATAACTAGTAAAACTAGTCATCCATGAACATGTAACTAGTACAGGGAAGTCATATACATACAAAGGGAGGATGTGTTGGTCACATCAGCATGGTTTCCATGATATGTGTCACAGTGAGATGGTCTGATGACTATAGAGCATATCCTGTCTCTTATATAGAGATAACTTGGTTGCTTGTAACGGCGGCACTAGTCATCTATATAGATGCGATCCAGGGCATTTCTGAATAGTATATGATAGCCCTATAGCCAGCATCTAGGTCGACATATACTCTAAATAGGCTTGATATCGGGGCTTACAGTCAATACCGATAAGACTATTTGAATCATTAAACAGTTTCAGTGGTTTATAGATAATTGACCTATGATGAAAGGGATTTTTAAGGATGATAGTTCTATATTCTGGACTTTGGAAAACATTGCGCTTTGCCGCGCCGCCTGTCTTGGCCCTTGGGCTGCAGTAGACTGTACTAAGCAGTAGCCCTTGACCTGCTGGCCTGAGGCCTCCCGGTATCTAGTCTAGTCTCGTAGTACGTATACCGTGACCTAGCTCCCCACAATCGGCAGTACTATAATCTATTCTTGGGTCGGGTCACGTGGTACTGGACCTCTCACATCCGAGTTAATATTCCGGTTTGGTCCGGATGTAGGAGAAGCTCACTAATTAAGGTGGCGGTGTGCATTTTAACCAAGATTTGATCCACGGTTAGTAACCACACTTTTACTCCGTTGCCTGATCGATCGATCATCCAACCAGTACAGCACGGTACGATGGGGATTGGGGAAGACACTCTCAATTTTCCGAATGTCTGTATTGGTCTCTGCAAGGGCCTAGATACTGAATTACTGATCATTCACCCCATTCGTTATCAGCCAGATCCAGACCACAGACCACACGCTTAATGTGAAACATCTGTTGCGGTTGATCTATTATTGGAAGAAGTCGCCGGGGACTTGTAAGACACCCGGCTTATTATGGGTGCTGTGAATTTCATCCGACCCATCCCAGAAGCTTGCCAGTCCCACTCGAATCTAGATGCCTTTATACCATTCACCCAATGGTTTCCGCCTAAGCGAGGCCAGTCCAAAGTCCTCAGCCTTGTCTTCAACCTGATAATAGAGCTCCGCCATCATCTGGTTGACTTGATTCTGAAATTGCACCGATGCTCCCATGGCATGCCGGCTTGGCTCTCGTTCCTATGCGACCAGTCAATGAGAGAAAGAGAACCCAAAGGGCCATGAACGACGACTTACGTTACCGGCGGGTTCCAAGCGGCCGCCATGTGGATCTACCCCATTGTCTTTTCCTCCATGCTCTTTTGAACTCGTAGACACCATCCAGCCTGGCTCTCCAGCAGGCGCCCTTTCGCATTGACTGTTAACAAGACCTTGCAGCGCTACGTCAGCTTCTCGGTACAACATAGCGCCAATCCGGTCCATCTCTTCTTTAGTAAACATCAAAGCGTTCGGCTCTGCCATGCTGTCCTCGATCTGAACCACAGAAGCAAAGCGGTTATCAGTCTCTGCTGGAATTTTATCTATCAATTGCACATACCTGTGTGGCGAACAGTGGAGGCTCAAATGCGAAAGTATCGTCGGGTATGCCTATGCGGCTATGTGTGTATGACGCGTCCTGCTGATCACGTTCGATGCTGCTGGCGGGCAAGTCGCTTTCCTTATCCATATCATATTCATTGCCTTCTTTGCTTCTGCTAATAATTTGCGGAAGAGGTGCTAAGCTGCTTATACCATTATTGGAAGTTATGTCTAAAGATGCCGCATCGCAAGCTTTATGCGGTAGCTCAGCTTCGGAAAGTTGGGATTCAGTACCAGAGCCCTTATTATGGCGGGCTATAAGTCCAGCCTGTTCGCCATGTGATGGAGCAGACGTGTCGACCTTGCTGCCTTCTGTAGTCTTAAGGGTCTTCCCTGCAGGCTCTGTCATTGGGCTTGCTTGCAAATTAGCGTTCTTATCTAAACATATGATGGCAAAGCGACTGGGAGACTGAGCTGAAACTTCAAATTGCCCGGGCGCTATCGTCTTCAATCGAAGCTCGAAGTCGGCGTCTGCACTTCTTGATTTAGACAATGTTGGGGCATGTCCCGTGTTGTCTATCAAGCATCTCATTAGCGCGTTTCCGTCACACACGTCAGAAGGAGGGGAGGTGCTCTTCAGTACCCGCTGTGCTCCCCCCTCCTAGGTAAGGGCTATTATCGGTCAGAATACTGCGTGCTGAGAAAACGGCAGAGAGGGTCACATCAGAGAGATTTGTTTCCTGTAGATAACAACACAGGGAGTGTTCTGAAGAAGTGTGATTCCCAGAGGCCACAAAGAACTGTTTCACCCTTTCCCACGTTGTGTTGATGGAGTTTTCCCATTGCGACAAAGACTCTCTTGATAAGACCGAGAACAGAGAGAGGGTCTTCAGTGAATGATACAGCGGTTCGGCACAGCACGCCACTAGTGGCTGGACAGGAGATTGCCAGTGAATGCCTTCCAACAATGACCCTAACCCAAGATAGTCAGTGTTAACAAAGGATTGGCAATCCTCGATTGAGCTTAGCGGATCTGGTCTCTCCACAGCCGCACTAGCTAGTGACGTGGGTTGGCTTTTATCGGTCACACGGTCCCCTCGTGACGCTTCAGATGGAGCTCTGCTATGCGCCTCCGTGGATGGAGGCACAGAGAAGAAACGGCGATGTCTTTGCCAACTTTCATGTAATGGCCTGTCACTGAACAGTGAATGCCAATCTTGATCACAGCTGGACCCATCAGAGTATGCATATGGAGAAAAGCTATTCGAGTCTGCAGATGTACTCATGTTGTTCTCACTGTCGCTCTGGTCTGTACCTTGCTCCTGTTGCTCGACAAACCTGGTATGCCGCAAGAGCAATCCTTCCAGACAGTCGTGGACGTCGTTCTCCCCAAGTGTAACCCGGGTGGGTTTATATCGAATCATGACGTCTGACGATGCTGTGGAGGTGATGTTCCTTTCAATGGGAGCAGCCTCGTCAATCAATGATGAGAGGGTGGTGTAGTTGGAGATGGTAAACTATAAGAAAATCCTTCTATTTATTGAAGCCGATGGGCAGGCAGTATTCAGGAATAAATTGTTGCAGGTCACTGATATGGCAATTACAGGTGTTGAATCTTCAAGGAAAGTGCGATGGTGCATCCGTCTACAGGATAGTATGCCTAACAAAGAATGATTCAGCCCTTTACTAGAAGTTGTTTTGTTCACATTCCCAATATAGGTGGTTTCTCGTATTTGTCTCCCCTAATCTTTTCGTATTCATCTTTTTTTCGAGTCACGATGTCTCTAGTGTAGCATACAACCATGGGATAGGTATATATATATATATATATAAGTCGTAGAAGTGGAGCCGTGGCTGTACCCTGTAGGGACGGTACATCCATAGTGAGTTGGTGGTATGGTACTACTAGTAGGTAGTACGATTAGAATGTTGTTTGATTTGATTAAAATTAATATCGTATTATGGTCAAAAGAACATGTGTTTTACTCGACCAAGCAAATGCTACCAGCCGAGGCCAAGAGAGCCTACGCAGGACCAATCCGAATGACGACCGAAAAGAAAAGTCAAAGCAACTGAAAAGAAAATAGAATTACGCGGGATGATGGATCTTCGGACACTGCCAGCTTGTCTCTAGGCAGTCACTATTTACTCCTCCTTGACTTACCTCCTACTAGTACAGGAAGCGCTATGGATGCGATGCTAATAATAAACTGATTGCCCAAAGGAGGCCATCCTGAGAACCTCAGGCTGCCCACCTTCAGCCTCTTTCTTGCATCTCCTCTTTTTTTTATTTTTTTTTAACCTCCTGTTCTCACCCCTCGTTCACCTCTATACTTCTTTTTTCTCTTTCTTTTCTTTTCTCTTTTTATTTCCCCCCTCCCTCTTCGCCATTCGTAATCCGATCGTTCCGTTTCGTTTTTGTTTTCTCTTCTTTTCTCCCGCTTGAATTCTATTCTGGATTTGAAAGACAGTTCAGGATCCCATTTTGCGGGTTCTCAGAAGTTCTATAGCTAGGACTGTCGTTGTTGTATCATGCATCATCCGCAACTCCCCCGACCGCCGCCATAGTCTGTCGGCCACCCCTCTATTATTATTATCTCTCTCCTACACTCCCTTTCGGGACCACCGCCATTTTCTCTCGTCCTCCTCCTTTCCGCCCTCCATCCCCTTGGATTTCCCTTACCCTCTCGGATACACGGGCGAGGTGGATTCTCTGGTTATAACCCGCGCCCAAAAACCCGTC